AGGAGAGGAAAGAGTTCCCGCTGTCCCCTTAGGGTTAGGGGCTGGGTCTGCAAAACAAACTGCCATGAGTCAGGGGTGTCGAGCTCATTCTCGCCCTTGAGGCTGCCTTCAAAGGAACGAATGTAGTTTTAGGGCTGTGTAAAATGTAACTGCTCCTTAACAGTTAAGGGAGAGCTCGGTGCTGCCGCCGGGTAGAAACAAGGTGCCCGGCTGCATAAAACAAGGCGCAGGGCCGGATTCGGCTGTGGGCCTTGTGTGTTGCCACCTGTGGAATAGATCCACAGGAGAAAAGGCATCCGATTTTATTTGAGGTTAAATGATGCATTAAGTGGAATGGGGGGACTTCTTAGAAAAAGGAGAAAATCCTCAAGGAAATATCGAGGTCAGCAGAGGTCAGGGTCATTAACACCGGTCTCCCCGGGTAACACACACACTCTCGAGGCCCAGCTCTGAGGCCCAGCAACCCCCAGCTGGCACGCACAGACCCGCAGCCACAGCTGGGGCAGGCTCCCGGGCAGGGAAGGCTTTGCAGGTGGGTAGAAGCCCGCTGATACGTCTGTCAGACAGATTCGTGTTTCCCCGGGAACAGTGGGGCCGGCGATGGTGAGAGTGTGCAAAGGTGATGGCAGTGTTGTCCTGGAGGAAGCTGGGCAAGGGGGCCAAAGTTCTCCATCTCAAATTTTTGCAATTTCTTGTGGTCTGAAATTTTTACATAGAAGATATTTTTAAATGAATAAAACATGTTCTAATCAGACAAAAAAAAACCTGTGGGTGGGCTGGTGAGTGCCAAGCCGGGAGTGGGATCCTGGCCTTTCTAGACGAGGAACAGCTACTGGAAAAGGCACTTCAGAATCTTCGGAAGCAAACTATAAACCCTGCTTTGACCATCGACCTCTTCGGGGCAAAGCCATGCGTTCGGCAGGGACGTAGGGCCTAGCACAGTATGTCTGAATCCGGGGCCATGAATGCCAGCATGCCAGAAATGTCATTTCAGTCATCTACTGCTGGGTTGAATTTGCCCCTGGACGGGATGGCCTCCCGCAGGAAACACCTGTCCTCCCCAGGCCCGGGGCACCAGGTGTGGCTTTGCAGGAAGTCTGGCTCCAGGAGCCCCACAAGCTGCCGTCCAGGTGTTGGTTGGGCAGAGGTCTTGCCCGAAGGCTCAGCTGGGGGGCAGGTCCCTGTGAAGATCACAAGCACAATTGGCAGGGTGCACTTCCTGAGGGGCAGGAGGCCCAGTTCCTTGCTGACCATTGGCACAGGCCTCCCTGCATCCTGGGGACCTCCAGGGGGGCGCTCATGTGGCAGCCGGCACCCAACCGCACAAGTGGGAGGAGGCCAGAGACGGCAAGTACACCAAGAACAAACACAGACAGGACACCGCTCCTGCTATATTCTTAGGGTCACATGCAAGGGGGGCAGATGATGGACGTCAGAACGGTGGGGGCCTCCCCAGGGTCTGTCTGCCAGAGTTCGCCCTTCGGCACCCAGGAATCCCACCCTGACACTGGGAAGACACAGTCACCCCTGCAAAGGTCGCACCCCATTCGGGCATCAACTCCAAGTCCCAAATCCACCCGAGCCATCCCTCCTTTTCCCTGGAAAGTGTCTGCAGGTGAGAAGATCTATCGGCCTGTTTCCTGCCAGAGGGCTGGGGCAGGTCTGACGGCCTCTTGCGTTTCCATTCTCCTCACTAGTCCCGGGCCGACTGAGCCCACAGTTTCTGCCGTTGTCAGTTTTCTGAAATACTCCGTGGGTTTGCTGTGGATTCCCCGGGTTGACACCACTGGACAAGCGTCACCCACAGGCCTTCGGAGACTACCCTGGTCCCTTTGGCATGGCTGAGCAGTGCCCTTGAGCTTCCTAGAGGCGCTGTTTCAGCAAGAGTCTGTTTGAAATTTTCACCCTTTGATGGCTTGCCAAAAAGATGTCTAGTCACACCCCCTGCTTTCCGGCAAGACACAGTGTCCTGACAATAAATCTCTTAATTTTAGTAGACATTAAAAGCACCTTATCTCTCCAATTACTATCCAGGAAACCTCATCTACTGCTTGAAGAAAAATATGTAGATGAAGACGGTGAGAGGGGGAGGAGGCAGAGGGGAAGGGAAAAAAGCGCTTTAACGTATGTGAGCAGGTCCCTGGTGCTTCCACATACACATTTCTCACACACTCCTTGTGATCCTCAGGAAGCGCTGTCCTTAAGGAAAATAAAGCACGGGGCACTAGGAGGAGACCGAGCACAAAGACTCTGGCTTCCAGGACCTAGAATGTTGTGCGGGGCGGGGCAGATGACTCCCAAAGCGGTGTGCTCATGGAAAACGACAGCTGTTAGGCCCGCTCGTCCCACCCTGCGTTTTACACCGAAACGCCCGCTGGGCGGCTCTTCCGGCCCTGGCCTGCGCCAGACATTCCTGGCCACCTCTGTCCGAGTGCTGGGCTTTCCCCACGCAGAACGCAGCTCTGTGCCTTCGGACCGCTGCCTCCTGACTCAAGTTGATAGCTGACCTCAGAGCTCATGAGGTTGATAGAGTGATTTATTGAGTTAGCAGGGAATTGGTTTCCTTGCTTTTTTAAAGTTTTATTTTCTCTACAGTATTATGAAGTGTGTACTATGTTTTATGTAAGTAGGCATTTATGACTCGATCGCTCACCTTGGGTGGGATGTTAGAAGCATGTGAAGTGATAGGAGTGCACCTTGAGCTCCCCTTGCCAATGCACCTACTGCGTGTGTGCATAGGCTGCAAGACACAAGCCCTGCTCATTACTTAGCAATGTTGCTCAGTCCCCCGAGTTACCAGGTGGCGCTCGTGGCCAGTCGCCCATCCATCTGGCAGCAATGCCCAGTCTCACTAACATTCTTGTCGTTAAATGAAAATACGACCCCAGTGACCCACCGAAGGAGACTCACTCAGTCCAAAGGGAGTGTGTGTGCTCCACTCAGGGGTGAGCAACTTGGCAGCTTGGGGTGGCATCTGGCACGGAAGGCGCCCCACAGGACACACAGCAGAAACAGCAGAACCAAGAGCACCTCTGGCCTTAACTGGAGCAGGGTTCGGTTTTTCCAACGTGCTAAAGCAACTCGTGAAAAACAACTTTCATAATTTCTGTGTAGTTGCAGAATGGACACTGTGTGCATTTTCCACTCTAATTTACAAGTTGACTGGTTGAAAGGAATAAATAATGAAATACGTTTATTTTACCCCTACTAAGCTTATCCATTAAAATATTTATCTGCACCATTTCCCTTCAATGGCAATTATGCCCTAGTTTTACAGCGATTTTCTGTGTTTTGTGAAATTATGTGCCCAGATTATCTTTCATTCACGTCCCTGTGTCCCACTGGGTCAGAAGCGTGTGCTCAGCCAGGCCGCTTCCCCAGGTGGGAGAGGTCAGCGCCACCTGCACCCTGGCCTCTGGGAAAACGGGAGTCGTCCGGTGCTGTGGGGGCTGCGGGTAGAGCGCCACAGGGTATGCCGCCTGCCCAGTTCCTTTGTGAAATGGGCCTCTGACCATGCAGTTTCCTAAAATGAAGAGGGAGTCTGTGTGCCCCTGCCACCTGTTAAAGCAATCTGGAGGACCTGGACCAGTTTGGAGCTGAATGAATGACTTTGCCAAGGATTCTGATTCTGAGAGGGTTACTTCTTCACACAGTCTCACAGATGTGCAAACATGTACAAAAAGCCCGTTTTTCAGAGATTTACTTACTGTTTGGTCATCACTTCTCTAGCCCCAGTTCCACATGCAATATGTTTTCTGAGGAATGGACCACAGGGCTTTACTTCTTACCCCTTGCCTACCACTTACCAACGAACCTATTGGTGTGCACCCCCAACCAAAAAGCCCAGTGTAGTCAATTGTTACATTCATACTTCGAAAATACCATTTCATTTTTTAAAAAAAGCCAATGAGGCAACCAAAAAATCATAAAAAGTGCATTATCGTAGAGTCAAAACGCCGACACTGGGCATGGGAAGTCGGCCGTGGGAAGCTCCGCTCCCACCTTCGGCCCCCGGCACAGCAGCGGACATGTCCCCCGGGGCTCTCCGTGCTAGAGCTGACTGCAGTGCTGCCCGCCCTTCCGCTGAGCAGGGGCCTGGGGCTTGCTCCCCACTGACGGACACACACAACGTGCACTGGATTGTTAAGAACCGTTGCGTAAAGCCTCATGAACAGACTTCATGAATCTCCGTTAACAGATATTTGGGTTTTTGTGCTTTTTCACATATTAAATGTTTCGGCAACCTGACCTGTGCAGCACCAACCTCTGGCAGGGGACATTTTTTAGTAGATGTGATCGAGTTTCCTCCTAGAAAGGCTGGCCTCACCACACGCCCCCAGCAGGGCGTGGCCAGGGCCTGCCTTCCGAGTCTTCACTGACAGGGTGAACCACCAGTAGTAGTACCCCCTTTTCCTAGTGTCTTAATAGTTCCTAGTGCTCAGTTCTGGCTCCACGTACCACATAAAGGCCAGCGGCTACTGGGAGAGGCAGTGGCAGACCCAGGCACCCCACGTACTCCTGTCTGCAGTGAGCACAAGGTGAACGAGCCAGCGTCCCGCCCCACCTGCCCCCCACGGAAGGCTGACTCAGCCCACCTGTGCACAGGCTGGAGCCGGCGGCTGAGGGGAGGAGCTGTGGAGTGGGTTCACGCTGGACTGAACGCTGGACCGGTCTGAGGAGGACAGTCTGGCTGCCACAGTGAGCGGGACAGCCCATCCCGAGCACAACACCGGGAAGAGGTGACTCTCGGGTATTTACGGGGCCTTCCAAGAGGGCTGGGCAACAGGGGTTTTCATGTTCCTCCTTCCGTTCATCTCTGCTGTCCAGCGTCCCCACAACAAACAGGTGCTGTTTACAGAGCTCCACACACATTTACTTTCGAAAGATGCCAGTGCCCCAGCTGCCAGCTGCTGCCACATGGTGCCATTAACCATCACCGACCCCCCAGTGAAACGTTCTTCACCTCTCACCCCCACGGTGCACCTGACACTAGACTACACTTCGCTCTTTCCGAACACACTTTATTCGTCAGTCCTGGTGAGGGATGGAAATAATACAAGGTCACAAACTACAGTGGAAACGGGCCCGTGCACGGCAGAGTCTGGTGAGGTCGTGAACACTCAGTAGTGCGTTGTCCCACAAGTGAGCCACCACAGCAGTGAGAGCTGCATATAAGCCATACATCTTCATACACGAGTAAGACTTGGGGTTTCAGTGTGAGCCCACTAGTCACCCCACAACCCACCCTAAAAAGACCTATTAGGGAAAAAACGAGGAAGTTCCTTAGTGTGTGGTACCAATAGGCGCACTCATCGGTAACAGCCGGAAGAGGACCCACGCCTCCACTGCGCCAGGCTGCTCATCGGATGCAAAGCTGAGCTGCTGCATCCGACGTTCCTGGTGGTACCAAACTTAGGACACACACTCCGAGCACCATGAGCGAAGCCCGTTCCTGTGCTGAGTGGGAGAGACTGCACCACAAAAATGCCTTCTTTCCACTCAAGTGCCCCACTCACTTCCCGCAGCCAAAAGTCCTATCCCAGTTCTCATAAAGCTCTAGGTCTTCGGGAGACACGCTGGGCCGCACAGTTCGGAAGGCGTTTTCAAAGTCCACGTAAGCTATGGGGGGGACTTGGTCGGCCGTTATGGTGGCGATGTCGGTGGCCTGGAGACCGCGGATGGGGCCGAGGGATGCCTCCCTGCACAGCTGTGTCATGTCAGCACCCGAGAAGCCCTCTGAGTGCTGCACCACCAGCTCCAGTTCCTCCTCTCGGAGGCGGCACTGCTCCCGGGACATCAGGCTGACCACGATCTGCCGCCGGGCGGCCGCATCCGGGAGGGGGATATAGAGCCTTTTCACCAGCCGCCTCCGGGCAGCCTCGTCGATCTCCTGAGGCCGATTGGTCGCTCCCACGACGAGAATTCGGTCTTCGGAAGACGTGGTTGCCCCATCCAGCTGAACCAGGAACTCGGTTTTGATCCTCCTAGACGACTCATGCTCGCCACCTCCGCGCTGGGACAGCAGGGAGTCGATTTCGTCGATGAAGATCACTGCCGGCTGCTGGCACCTGGCCACCGCGAAAAGGGCCCGCACCATCTTCTCCCCCTCGCCCACCCACTTGGAGGTCAAGGAGGAGGCGGAGATGCTGAAGAAGGTCGCCCCAGACTGGCTGGCGATGCACTTGCCGATCAGGGTCTTCCCAGTCCCAGGGGGGCCAAAGAGCAGGATCCCCTTCGGTGGCCCTCGCAGCCCGGTGAAGATATCGGGCCGCATCATGGGCCACACCACGATCTCCTTTATGGTGGCTTTGGCGAACTCAACCCCTGCGATGTCCTCCCAGTGCACTGGGGGTCCGTGGTCCACAATCTCACTCATGATCAGTTCGATCATCTTTGGCTCCAAACCCTTCAGACGCTCATCGACCAGGTGTGCGGGCCCTGCAGGTCCAGCTCCATTGGACTTGTACTGCAAGCCCCCGCTCAGGTCACCCCCATCTGGCTTAGGAACAGGAGGGACAAACTTTCCAAAAATCCCTCGGGATCTATTGGCACCCAGAGACTTTTTCACACCACCATAGGAAGACACCGGTGCACGGGGTGGGTGATGGTACTTTTTCTGCTGTTCTGCCCATAATTGCTCCTTGGCAGTTTTAAAGGTCGGCAGGCTGTTCTCCTCTCTTTGGCCATTATCTTCTGTTTTACTAAAACCCTTGTTCAGAATTGGAGCCAAAAGTGATTCAGAAGGGCCGGAACCGTAAAAAGCGATCCTTTCAAGGGGACTGTCACTGCCAGGACAACTGAACTGACTGTGCAAGAACATATTCAGTCCCTTGTTGGCTTTTGGAGAGCTGCTGTTTTCCTTTCTCACACTTCCAAATAATGGTGTGGCATGCAATTTTGCCGTGGCTAAGTCAGCAAAAGGTGCTGAGAGTGTGGGACATGTCTTTGGGGCGTCAGTCACCACGGGTGGATGGGCATTCCGAGGGCCCGACACACTGCCCTCTGGGATGTCTCCGGTCCTGTCTGCACAATGAGCAGGGTTAGTGAGTGGGTCACTCTCACCGGAATGACCACAAACACCAAATTTCGGAGGCTCGAAGACCCCGGCCTCCTTATGGATTACTACCGAAGCATCAGCAGTTGCCAACAGGGCATCTCGGGACTCGGCGCCAGCTCGCATCATCTCCTGCACGCTGCTCATTTGGAAAACATTAGTGATTGACAATCCGGACTGCCACTTGTCACTGTCAGTTTGCTGTGATCTTGCTAAAGTTAAAATTTCTTCCGCGTAGTTATTCAAGCCAGTTTCAACATTGTCAGAATCGATGATTGCAGAATATTTCTCTGCGTACTTTTTGAACAGTTTGGAAGCACAGGCCTGGGAGATCTCGGAGTTCACCCAGGCATATTGGATGCGCAGGATCTGCGCTCGGTAGGCATCTGCCTTCTGAGCTGCCGTGCATGTGCCAGATGTGACGGTGAAGTAGTTCTCCTGCCATTCGCTCAGGTGCACAGACCGAGTGCTGGGGGCCTGCATTCTAGGGGTTCTATAACAAAGACCAAAATGAAGAGTGCTAAGAAGACAAATGCAGACTTAAATTTCTGCTCATCTGAAAGAGGTATACTGGATCTTTCATTCATAAGGTAAATTTATAGACAGACCATTGCAAGAGAAATGCTAGTTATTCATAAATTTCCAGATATAACAGATTGAAGACCTGACCCAATAATGCTTCATGATGGGTTGAACTATTTTAGTTATTTACTAATTTTCCCTGCAAAGAGTGAAAACATTCATAAGGAAAGGATTTAAAATTAATCAGCAAAAGAAAAGCAATACAAAAGACGCACAAAGCTATAAACAAACCAAGCCAAACGAACCTAGCCCCGGGTTTCTGTCTGATCTCAAAGAGAAACTCAATGGACGATCTCAAGCAAGCCTCTTAGTGTCACAGCCGAGTCTTCAGTTTTATCTGTAAAGTGAGAGAAATCACTGTGAGAGTCAAGTCAAAAAGCAAATATAAAAATATTAGCTCTGAAAAGCACCACCGGCCCTACTGTGCGAATGCAGACACTAAGGCTGAGCCTGTGAGGGGCTTCCCGGTGCCAGAACGCTCACGCCCATGAGTTCTCACCCCCTGAAGCAGGCACATCCGTGTGTCAGTGCCAGCACCAGAGGTCAGAGCAGCATGCATCACAAAGATGAACCTGGTCATCACTGTTTTAAGGCCTTATTTGTGCATGAGCACTGAAATCAGGGAGCCTGTCACCATGGCCCAATTTCTCATGAAGTACTAAAAAGTGAAACTGTCAAGAGAGCAAACAAAATATAACCAGAGACATTGAAATTAAGAACAATCTAACAACAGCCAGAGGGGACAGTGGAGGGGACAATGGGGAGAAGGGTTTACAGGAACAACTATAAAGGACACATGAAAAAAAATTAAATAAGAAGTAAAACTGTCATGATGCAGGAATTATAAGAACAAGCCACACGATCTGCTAGTAAAGTGCTTATATTTTAGATTTCTTCTCTCAAGTTATTTTCATAAGCCTCCTTACATTAAGTTAAAGTTATTTGAACACAATTATAGATGAATACATCACATTGCTGGAGGTGCGGAATTTACCTGTTGACCCACAAGGAAGATTTGTAAGAAAACTTTAAGTTTCTTAACAGTATTGCAATACAGGAAAAACCAAGAACTGATGCATTTTAAAGTGTACCTTCCGAATTACCTGTAAATATAGCTTAATAATCATATTTTATAGTTTTTTAAATCTCCCTTAATATCCTACAAAGATTCTGTCACACTGTGGGCAGGTGTTCATAAATCTTTGTGATGAAAATAAATGTAAGGCTCAGGGGGATTCTAATTTGCTTAAAGCAATAAAGGTAAAAAGAATCAAAACTAGAACGGACGTTTCCTCACCATCTCTCTTTCTGCTACACCATTTCCTTTTCCTTTGTGCAGCACTGGAAATGGGAGATTGAAAGAACACGCTCGTCCTCTGCAGGGCTCCATCCTTCTCATCTGCAGCCCTGGGGCTCCAGGCAGCTGAGCTCTCCTGGCTGTTCCCAGCACACCCTCCCTTCCCTGTCCACGGGCTTGGAGTTCTCCAGAATTCACCTCCCCAGTCTTACTGCTTCCTTTGAACTCAGCCACTTGTCCAACAGCTGTGGCCACAGATGACAAACACCTGTTGTAGCAAACACCTGGTCGATGACAGCGCTGTCCCCAGTGCTATTCCCAAGTCCCTTTCATCTTTATGGCCCTTCTAGATCTTCACTGGAACTGACCTATGAACTGCATGCTCCCCTTTTTTATTTGGATAACTCTCCTCTTATGGCGGGAATGTGCTGTTTGTCTACCTGGACAGATGACTCCTGCAGGTAGGAGCGGTCTCCATTACTCTCAGTCTCCCCACCGGGGAGCCGGAGCCAGAGAGCGCGGCCAGAGCCCCACCCGCCCGGACAACACGCTGACCACGCCGACCACGCCGACCCCGCCAGCCAGGCTTCGGTCGGGACTCGGCTGCCAGCCCCCTGACCTCTAGCTGAGAACGCAGCTGCCTCCTTCGGCCCGCGGGGCCGCGAATTCCGCGCAGTGCTCAGAAAGTTCGCCCACTTACTAAATTCTGAATCAGACGTGGTTGTTCCCGTCAACAGCGCCCCCCGCCCCGCTCCAAGGGCACCGCCTCCTTTCTCATCCGCCTGGACCGGTAACCAGCCGGGCTGGAGGTCGGTCTACACGAAGCTCCGCCGTCTGCAACACCGCGCACAAGGGCCCGAGACGCCCACACGGGGGTGGGGTTGCTTCCCTGCCCCTTCCCCGAAAAGGCAAGTCCCCCGAACAGACAGGAGTAAAGAGCACGCCCACTGCGAGAAACGCTTCAGGGCCTGGCCTTTCCCACAGCCGCCCAGGCAGCCCCTAACCCCACCGGATGCCCCGGGAAGGGCTGCAAGGGCCGAGCTAGCCCCTCCCCACCTCTTGCTCCCGCCCCGCAACCAACTTCCCCAAGCCATCAGGGTCCCCGCCAACCTGCAGCAACCGAAAAGCGCGCGGACCGATGTGCGCCTGCGCGCTGTGGCCCAGCCTCGCCAGTGCAGTGCGTGCGTCGTGCGTACCGGGCGCGCTCCTCGGGGGCGGGCCGCGCGTTGGGGGCGGGGACTAGCGGCGGAGGGGCGGGGCGCTGGCCTGGGATCTGGTCCCTGGGATTGCAGGAGGCTATTCTGCTAAACGGGATGCTCTGGCTATGCAGCCAGCGGGTTTACGTAACGGGACGAATCTGCGTCTTATTGCGAATGTACTTCTTTGGTAAACTCCGAAATAAAGACGCGCAGGTCCCGAGGTAACTGCCTTCAGAGAGTTCCCATAGCAGGCGCTCCTCCGGACTCAGTTGGCGCGGTCTTTGCAGATGGTCCTCACAGTTCCGGGGGCGGGCCCCTTCCCTCCACACAGCACGGAAGTGGGTAGGTACTGTTCCTCACCGGTGGACGTGGGTAGAGTGGCGTGTGAAGTCCACGTGCGTTTTTAAGGAGAAGAGGGGAATTGGAATGCCCGGAGTCCTGCAGCTCAGCCCCGCCCCTCAGCCAGCAGGTCTACTCCCCGCCCCGCCCCCACCCCTGGGCTCCTTAGGGACCCTTCCCTGGAAGACTGAAAAATGTTTCATCACCACCTTGGACTGGGGCTCCAGAGAACCACGTTCACATTAGTTTACTGAATTGCGTTTCCAGACCAAGTAACAGAATAGTCACTAACCCCCACCTACTTGGTAATTAATGTCACTATGTGACATAAGTCTGGAATGTGACCGTTCCACGTCTGAGGACACAACCTAAGGATGTCATAAAGGGCTATCTCTTGGAAACAGGGAGAATCCACTCCCAGGAAGCCTGAGGAGCCTTTGTCTCCCTCCCTGGGCTCAGTGGGTCCTTCGTTGTCCCTTCTGGAAACAGTAGCTATCTGGAGAAGGGTGGAGAAAATGATGGCTGAACAGCAACACATGTGACTTTAGAATGGCTCAAAATAACACATCCTGCACTGGCATTTCTGCTTTTTATGCTCCTTAATCTTGCTATGTATGTGTGGAAGTTGGAGTCATGTCCAAGTGAAAATGGTTGTTCTCGAAGCATCTGAAACCATGCCTGACAGGTTATACACCCTCGATAAACACTGCCGAACAAATGGACGCTGGTTCCAAGTCCCCAGGGATGCCCTGTCTTTGGCCACATTATAGCAATCAGTTGGGTACCATATAGCACAGGACACTCACCACAGGCAACTGCCATTGCACTGCAGATGGTTTATTAAGCGCTGAGCCACATGACAGAGCAAGCAAAAGGCCGCAGGAACAATCTGTTGTCCCACAACCACAGACCACCCTGGGAAACATTTTGATAAGCTTTCCTGCCACTGATGACGTCAGGAGCACAAACCACTGATTTTTCTAATCAGCAAAAATCACAGCCAAATGATGGACAAAACCTGTGTCCACTGGAATTAAGTCCTCCTGCAGCAGATGAAATTTCTTCACTAATGAGAGACTGAAGATACATAATCACAAGCTTCTGAGCGACTTTGGGGAAAGAGGTGTGAAGCCGCTTCTGCAGAGCTGGGATGGAGTTTGTGTTCTTCTCACTACAGTTTTCAGATGTACTTCTTTTCATCTTTAGATCTCTACGGGGAAAAAAATAACATGACATCATGGCTTCATTCATAAAAATTCCAGAATCAGGTCTCTGTGTGTTCCCCGTGCCGTGTGGGCTCGATATGACAGGGCAGCCATGCACAAGGAAATCCGAGGTGCTAAGACTTTCATCTTTCTAGCTAATCTGCCCAAACAACATGGGTGCATTGTGATTCACTACTACAGGCAACATCAAGGAACAGATCCTATTTTTGCCTTTAGATTTGAGAGCAAGTACAACAAGTCCACAGTAACTGTGACTTCTCTCAGAAATGTAGCTCTGTTTCCAATAATTTTTCAGAGTGATAGTCTCTCTCTGTGTCGCTGTGGGCATGTGGGAACACGACCGCAACGTGGTCCATCCATCTGGGATCTGTGCAAACACAGGGCTGCAGGAATGTGCATCAGGGATGTTCGTCTGACAGTTCTGTTTTGTATTTGTCTTCTAGCAGTTACCCACCCACGCCCCACACACATTCACACACACATCTTATCTTAGAGCAATGGAGAATGAAAATGGGAGCCTCTGCCCAGCACCTTCCAGAGATGCTCCAGCTATGACTCACTTTGAAGTTGATTTGGACCTGGCAGTCCCCCTCAGCCAATGAGCAATGCGCCTGGGCGGGGTGGTTCCCCCTCAGCCAATGAGCAATGCACCTGGGCGGGGTGGTTCCCCTCAGCCAATGAGCAGTGCACCTTGAAGAAAAATCCTTTTTGTGCCAGGAAAAGGGTCAGGAAGCTCAGGACCAGCCTTGACCATGCATGGGGGTCTTTGACCTCATGGGTCAGGAGGCATACATAGGTCTCAGCTAAACGAAACTTAACTTTTAACTTCTTGCTTTTGAGCACTATAATATTTCAGGTATTCCCAGTGAAAACTAAGAGCAAAGAAGGTAAAGTCCAACGCCATCAGTGGAGCCGTGCCTCACACACTTCGGTGCTGCATTCTCTGCAGGTCGGAGAAATGGGCAATGGGAGAGTGAGAAGGAACACAGAGAAGGAGGAGCTCAGCAGATGGTCACGGAGGCACGTCCACCACCCACCTCCCCCCAAATGGGGTGAAAAGATTAAAAAGACAGAAAGAAAGTAGACTCCAATGGACTGACATTTCAAAAATAATCTAAAGAAAAGGCTTTTACAGTTTCCGGGGCTCCCACAGACAGGCTTTGCACAGCCTCCGGTGGCTGGCGCTGCATCTGTGTGCACACTGTCCTTACACGTTAGCCACATGCTTTCCTCCGGGTCTCGCTGGCCTAGCACAAAGCTGCCCACGGCGAGGAGCCCGGGGGCCTGAGTGTTTCCTTCCTCTGAACCGTCAACCATTTGGTTCCCTGGCAGTAAGTCATTAGTCATGTCAAAGTCCCTTTGCATTGCTTTCATTGATTTTCATTTACCCACAGGTTGCCTGTTCAATGTGTAAAGCTTGATGCGATACTAAGTTGTCTCCATGAACAGGGAGAAATCAGGGCGAAGATTCTAGAGACATACCACTGAGAGTTTCGCATAAGAATACAAAGTAAACGGCTATCTGAGTCTCTAAAGCACTGAGGTTGCGCCTCGTTCCTCCCACCTCTTCCCTTCTCTCAGTGAAGGGCGCTGACCCACCTGCAGCTCTGGCCTGAGGCAGCGCTGACCCGCACTCCCGCCAGCCTCCCAGCAGCGAGGTCGCTAGCGCCTGGATGTGCTCCCAGGCCGACCGCACATGCGCAGACTCCATCATGCGGGAGCAGATGGCAAAGCGGAGCACGAACTTGTCTCTCAGGTGGCAGGGCACCAAGTGGATTTTCCTGGCGCCGTTTATTCTGTCCAGGAGAGCTTCATTCAGTTTGTTGGAACCCTGCAGGGACCAAGAGGGAGGGACTACATCTCAGAGAAAGAAAAAATTCAACCAAACAATGGTTCTGTGGCCCCAAAAGACTGCAGCAGGCCCCTGCGTGACAGTGGGTCCCACTATCATGGGACCCATTAAACAATGGGTCCCATTAAACATGAAGGTCCAGAGATGACCTTTCATGGTCCAGCCCTTGTAAGAAAAAAGCCAAAGGCTTTTCTTACAAGTAAGTCTCCCAGGTGTGTTCCCTATACATCAATGAGCTTACGCAGCAGACTGGATTTTCACATCCCCGGGGAAATGGTCTGTCCAAAAGGAGAGAAGAAACTCTCAACAACTAGAGAAAGGAACATGGTAGTCAGCTTCTTGTGAGAATTGGAGGAAGTTGCCTGGGAACTGTGGGTCCAGGGCACCACTGCTGAGACGCCCCTCTGGTAGAAAGCAGCTGCCAGCCCAGGCAGGGAGGCTGGAGCCCAGCTTCCCACTGACAGCACCAGAGGGCACCAGGTGGCAGACTTGGACCACACAGGCCATGCAGAGCCACCACCTTCCGGCACAGATGCTGCTCCCTCTGCTGGCAGTCTTGCTCCTTCTCCCACCCTCCCACCACCCAGCCTTTCTCCTATTTCCCAGCAGCCCCTCCTGCCCCTCCAAGCCAAGTGGCTGCTAGAAGGGGCTGGGAGGGGGCCCTGCGTCCTTGGTCATGTGGCCCTCACAGGATTGGACTGTTTGTGTCCTAGCTCTGTGGAGAATGGAGTTGCAGAAGGGCCAGTGGGAGGAGAAGAGCCCAGTTCTGCCAGGTGGGGAATGCCTGCAGGATCCTGGCCACCGGTGGGGCTCCCACCAGGGCCCAAACAGACAGTGGGTGGGCCAAGGCCACTTGGAAACGTCAGCACATGGAGGCTGGACAAGTGCGTCCTGTTGGAGAGTGAGGGTAGCAAGAGAAGGCCATACACAGGGGATGGCATTTTACCAGGAAGACAGCAGAACAGCAAACATCTGAAGATGATATCAGGCTAAGACTATTTAAACAAGTTACTTAGGACGAATTTGCTTGACATTTTCAACCGATGGGACAAGATATGTTTTGAATGAAATAGTGTTTTTAAATTAAAAAGGGCCGAAGGGAGAAACAGCCCAAGATGGAGCAGCAGCAACAGAAGCAGAGGAAGAGACACAGATGGGGGCAGGAAGGGCAGGTGAGAGGAGGCCACAGTCGGTTCCACTCCGCAGCCCCGCGTCCACTTCGAGGGCCATGAAGACCACGTGGGTGCCGCAGCAGTCATGGTGTGTGGGCCCAAGATGGGCCTTTGTCACCAACTCCCAGCTGACTCTGGCCCAGGGCTGACACCAAGACAGCCTGGGGATCGGGGAGTCCTCGGTGAATGCCAGTGGTTCAGAGGCCTGGCCAGCAGGCATGGTAAGCATCCCAGGTCAAGGGCCTCCGCCAGAACCAGGGGTCCACGTGTGTGCCAAGGAGAGCGGCGGGTAGCCCCTGAGGAGACTTCGGGGGGTGCGGTGGGCAGGTACATGGCGTAGGGGCTGGGTTGGGTGGTTCAGGGAGTGAATGGGAGGGTTTATGCTGGGAAGGGAGGAATGATACCTTGCCCTTGTCACACTGAAAGGAAATGAAAACAAAAAGGGACTTGAACATACCTTTAGGCGAAAGCAGACCAGCCCCAGAGTGACTTCCATACAGATCTCAAAGCGAGGGTCCTGGGTCACCAAGGACTCAAACTCGTGAGCCAGCTGCACGTGCTGGAAAGCGCAGGGGCTGCCTGAGCATCTGGGCTCTCGGTCCAGAGCCCAGACCCCCCCACCCCGGTCGAACTGCACGTCTGCCTGTGACTCAGTGCTAAGCATGTAGCCATTTTCTGTCCCCCCGCCAGCTGCTCCCACGCAGGCTGAGGAAAAGTTCACATCCCCATGGAAAAGGGTGGTGTCTTCAGGAAAACACCACCCAATCAATCACCTGTGATTTTAGAGGGCACATGGCGAAGAGGTGTTTGCATACAGCCGAGTCCCCTGTAAGATGAGGAGTCTGAGGCTGGCCCTACGCAGCTGCCTCACGGCACAGCCCTGGTTCTGCTGTGAAGGTGCTCACCGCCACCCAGAGATGAGACTCACACCTGTCCCTGTCCCGTGCACATACTGCCTTTCCTCGAACACAGTTACCTGATCGCCTGATTGGACGTCCAGGTGTTCGTGGAGCTCCGACGGCACTTGATCTAGGGGCATGCCATGCTTATTCTAAACCCAGGCACCCAGCACAGCGCCCGCCCTGGGAGGGGCTCGGGGAGCAGCCCAGCCCACAACCCTTCTCCCAGTACGGTTGGGGCCCAAACACCCCAAAGGAGCGGCCCAGTCAAGTGAGAAAGCTCTCCACCACCAGAGGGCGCCAAAGCCCCAGGCCTGCAGCTGGACTCTCCCCACAGCTGGGCTCCTGACCACAGGCCTTCCCTGGGGACAGCTTGGCCATGCCCTCTCCTATCTGGGTAGCTCTGAGGAAGGCTCTGAGTGTGTTTCACTTGAGGCAGCGTAGTCACACCCAGATGCCCTTGAACTGCAACATGGCATCATCAGGGAGACATAACCCCCTACTTTCCATGTGCTGTCCCCAAAGAAGCAGAATACTCATCATATTCGAGAACATGCTCTCAAAAGGGGGGGCGGCCTCTCACTTCTGAACCCACACACTCCTTGTGAGGCTGATGGAACCGGTGTGTGACATGTGTCCCAGGGCACGGGCCCAGGCACCCTGCCCAGCCCTCAGGGACTAAGCCTTGGCCCCAGGGCCTCTGACAGATGGCCGCCTCACAACACTAGCGTGGTGAGCTGCAGGTGAGCTCCATTCCCATGCAGGCAGGGGCCCTGTGCCCTCTCCGGTGGGGACATGGCAGAGGGCAGAGGTCAGGACGGGAGGACCAGCTAAATGAGGGATGGGGTGGCCTTGGGCCAGTCCTAGCATATAGTTAGACGTCAGTTTCCTCGACTGTTACAAAGAAAAGGCAGGTACAGGCTTGCTACAGATGGGCATTTGTCACACTGGAGAGCTCATGGCAGCTGAGACCCCTCCGGAGAGCTGGGCCCAGGTGGGCAGAAGTGTGTCTGGGAACTACTGGGCCAGGGCACACCATCCCCACCCCGCCTCTAACATCTCCTTTCTGGAATGTTCTTGAAGCAAAACACTGCTCTCCCTGTTGCTCTTTTTGACAGGACCACACTGCTGGCCACACGGGGCTCAATTCACTTTGACTCTCCCAGAGCTGGTCCCCTGTGGTCTCGATGGACGTACAGACCATCTCATGCACACCTCGATGGCACATGAGTGCTGGCCCAGATGTCTCTGTCCGCTCCCAGAGCCCCCAGACCTTCACAAGAGCCCGACAGGCAGACTAGCAATCACCTTGCGGATGTAGGCCTGCAGCCCTGTGACTCCGTACATCCGGAAGACGAACCACATCTTCAGGGAGCGGAACCTGCGGCCTAGAGGCAGCTGCCAGTGCTGCATGGAACATGGTGGGTCTCAGGTGCCCCGTGGGGACAGGCCGCCTCTCTGCAGGGAGACCACCCCTCTGGTGCCCATGTGTGGGGATGGCCCAGCCCTTGCAGAAAGGAGCTGGTCTCACAGCAAGGGGCAGGTACGGACAGACCAGACTGGTCACTGTGCGCTCATGGATGTGAGAGGCTGGGCTCCCAGTTCATTTGCCAGAATTCACCTTCAAGGCAGAAACCCTAAAAGAGCCCAGAGGCAGCTATGATCTCAGGAGGCAGGAAAGCTGACACTGCGCTCTCGGTAAGAGAGCCACAGAGCTGCCAGATATGTGGTTGGGGCAGAGGGTGTGGGCTACTCAGCAGGCAGGCAGGGGACACCAGTGCCTGTGAGGAGGGGGTGGAAGGAACAAGACCCAGAGCATGGGCCAGACTGGTGCCCCACACCCGGGCCCCTGCCTCGAGTTCCAGGTCAGCCTGGCCCCAGAGCTCTACAAGGCAAATCTCCCACGTACCCTGTAGTCGGTGATCAGCTCTGGAGAAGAGGAGGAAAAAGAAGAAAGAAACCATCAGACTCGTGGGTCAGCGGCACACCTGAACCTTCACACGTTCTTGGTCAGTCCTCCCGAACCAGACCTAAGGCCAGCGGGCAGGGGCTGCATGGTCCCTGTGGCACTTCCCCCGGTGCCCAGAGAACACGCAGAAACGCTGGACGGCGTGGGCTCCACGTCGCTTTCTGCAGCGACAGGAGTGCGAAACTGCGGGATTCCACTGGCACCCATGGAAATGCCGGCACTGGGCTTGCATCAGGCCTGGTCACCCACTCACTCACCGACTTATGCGCGGGATGGGGCATTTGAGAGATAAGAGTGTTTGGAATGTAGAAAAGGAATCGCCTTCACTGGGCGGTTAGTTCCGTATCCTCGGGTCTCAGTCCAGTGCCTGGCACAGGGCGGACCCACCAAGGGTCCCCTGAGTCGGTCTCACTGTCCTGGATGCCTCGGCTTCTCCATGGTCATGAGAAAGGCCTTTCCCAAGATTGGACAGGCAAAGGACACTGGGCCAGACTCTCCCAGATGGGATTTCCTCTGTGGAAATCCAGGGTAAGGAATTGTGGAAAATTTGGAGATGTGCAGCTGTGCTGTGGTGACCCCTGGCCCTCTCCTGCCATTCAAACCAGGCACACTGGGGCCCCCAGGCGCCCCCACTCCCAGGCAAGACAGCCATGGCATGGTCATCGCAGCCCTGACTCCTGTCAGCTGGGATGCACCGTCCACCTAACACGACCCTCCACTACCCTGGGCTCGGTCCGCAGGGCAGGCGGGTGGCTCTGTACCCTTTGACCAGAAGACTGAGAGTCACAGCTTATTGTGACTCCCACCTGCCACCTGGCTGGGGCAGACCAGGCGTTTCCTCCCTGGGGGTCTAAAATGGCAGAGACGGGGACCCACTGGGCCGCTTTGTGAGGGACCCTGAGACGAAGCCCCACAGCTTTGGGACGCCAACCAGTACAGTCTGCGGCTGGCGGGGCGGGGCAGGGCGGGGCGGGGCTGGCAGACCACGTGCCTGGCGGTCAGCAGGAGGCACGGAGATAAAGTGAACCTCCTCGAAGTTCGTGCTTGTGGGGGACCAGCGCTCAGTGAGGATCGGTTAGCACCCAGATGTCCTGGTGACCCTCCATTTGCTCTGTGTCACTGTGCTGACCTCACAGAGCCACTGGCCATGTGTGGCCATTTAAATTTAATGAGAAGTAAATGCAGGTACACATCAAGTTCTTCACTCAGACCAACCATGTTCAGTAACCACCTATGGCTCGGTGGCACCCTGAGGACAGACCTGTCAGTCCAGAGCATCCCCTACAGGTGCCCACCATCCCATAAAGAACACCAAGGCCCCCTGGGCCAGCAACTCCTGTGGCAAAGGTCTGACTCATCCTGTGGACTATTTAATCCACTCTGTGTGTCTAAGGCTCCTGTGGGCCTACAACAGGCCCACAGGCGCGTGCAGGCCAAGCAGCTCCTACATGTGCGGACAGTGGTTCAGTGGAACCACACGTGGCAGCGAGACTCTCGGCCATCCAGAACAGTGTCTGCACTGGTGGCGGTTCTGGGAACTTCCTGGCTCACCGCTTTGCATGCTCCTGTTTTCCAAATGCACGGTTCCTACACCGAAAGAACCTATCTGAAAAGTCTACATACCACGTGTGACCCCTCCTCCCTGTCACCAGCTTTGTGAAAGGGTTTCCTGCCATTGAAACCAATTCCCCACTGACTTTGGCCCCAGTTCCCTGTCTCCCACTGGCTGTTGTGCATCCAAGGAGACTGCATGTAAACACGCAGAACCAACATGGTGTCATGAGCGGAATCCCTTCCCCTGCTGCCTCCCTGGGGCCAGGCAGGCACTGTCCCAGCCTGGAGCAGCAGAGCTGCGGTCCCCACCCCAGAATCACACGTGTGAGAAAGGACGCTAAACAAGTGACCAGTGAGCAAGGCTGTGGGTGGAGTCACAGGCTGAAGGAGTCACCAGGGGGAAGTGACAGGTAGGAAGACATCCCTGTCAGGGAGACTTTGGTCCTGGATCCCCGTGATGGGAGGGTGGCATCCTGAGGGCCCATCGGAGAGACAATGGGCTGGGGCCCGGGGAGTCCAGAAGGGCAAGGCCAGGGCCCCGTGGCTGGGCCTGAATGTGGTCGAGTGCCCCTAGCTTCCCCACCAGACGTTGCAGAGGGGCTCTGGGCTGGTTCACAGCCCCACCGCAGGGCCCGGTGGAAAGCAGGCGTGTAGAAACAGGCAAGGTGGCACGGGGTGGCCGTGCCGCCCAGGCCTGCGACTTTCTCTTCGGCACCCCTCCCCCCCCCCCCCCCGCCAACGCTCCTCCTTTCCTTTCTTCCCCCGCAGGTCCCAGCACACGGGGACACCCACATCACAGAGACTCGGGCTGTCTGCTCTAAAGATTCGTGCAGGAGGGTCCCCCACACCCAGCCCTGCAGGCCCCCAGCTCCTGTCCTGAGCAGCTCTGGCCCTCGGAGCCTGGGCCTTGTCAGCACCAGCCCCAGGGGGAGGTGCATCTTCTCAGCTCCACACCCAGCACCCCTGGGAATGCTCTGTGTTTGGGAACCTCCCTCTCCGGCCCCAGGGCACTCAGAATGCGGCTCTGGTGGAAGCAGACTGCCCACAGGAGGCCGTTGCTTACCTGAGTCCTGGTGGCTGTGCTTCAGGTACACAGGGTCCATTTTGAAGATGTCTGTCAGGTCACTCCTCCGCTTCACCCTGGTTTCAGAGGACAGACCATGGGCTTAGGAGAGGCAGCAGCCACCGCACCGCAGCCACCCGCCCCTCCTCCACTTGGCCTGGCACAGGCCCACCTGCTCTGGGACCCCTTCCCCGGCACCCCCTCGGCCCAGGCCCTGCACCTGTGCCCCCCACCACCCGGGGCTTCACAGGGGCACGGTGTGCACCTGCAGAGCTCCAAGCACCTCAGGCAGGCGGTATAATAAAGAACAAACATTTGGTCTTTGTCCCTGGTTCCTGGCGCACAGCACCGAAATGCCCTGGAACCTGGGTGGTGATAAAAGCACCCTTTATGTGCCAAGGAGACGGAAGATGGACACAGCCCCTGGCTTCAGGATGGTGCTGGCTGCCAGGAAGACTGAGCGGTGGGTACAGGGCAGGACGTCAAGCCCCACTGCCCTGTCTCAGGAGAGGGAGGGGCTTCAGGTTGAGCTCCACACCACCGGCTGATGAGCCTGTCGCTCCGTCATCCTGCTGGTGTAGTGACACCTCTGTCAAACCCCACATGACGCAGTTGGGTCGCTGGCCTCTGGACACACCTGGAGGGGAAGCTGTGCCCACCCCACACCCCTCCTCCTGGGTGTCCCTTCCCTGTGGCTGTTCATTTCTGTCCTTTCTAATAAACTGCACACGTAAGGACAGCACGTTCCTGCATGGTGAGACAGGGGGCGAGGGGAGCGGAGGGGCAGAAAGACTCATCGCTCCCAGGGAGCTCACCCTGGGTCACTGCGGGCACACAGCCCTCCTTTGGATGCCAGCAGGATATCCAAGCTGGTTTGCCTTATTTTCAACTTAAAAATATTATGCAGTGTTGGGAACTGCACTGCCTGGTTTCAGGAGCTGTCACCTCCCCCCCTCCCCGCCCACGGGGCTAAAACTGAGTGACCTTCAGACCACAAGCCACTAAGGAGACAAAGCATATCTCCCTGGCAGGAGCGCCACTTCTGCACCTTTTTTCATAACTGGCCCCCAATGCTTGATCAGTTGGCCAATGACGGGTAGGATTCCCCAAGGAGGAAACAACCTAAGACAGGCATGATCACAGGGGGCCCCAGGGAAGGACTTGGGGTGGCTATAGCAAGAGGGAGTGATGGACCCTTGACCCTCAGCTTTGACATAGCCTGAGTCCTCATTCTGTCTGCGAGAAGTCTCCTGATCTCTTGGCTGCCTTACTTCCCCTGCCTGACTTAAGCCTAAAACAATGACAGAGGGTGATGTAGCCCTGTGCTGGAAAGGGCAGATTCCCCGGGTGATCAGGCATAAGAAAGAATACTAAACTCTTGTGAAACCTGCTCTGCTAAGAATGCTCTCAATTAAATGATGAAGTTTCCAGCAGGAAATGAGTTTGCTTCTCAAAGTTTTGTAGCCCTTTAGCTAACAGACCCTGACTCAGAATTAGCCCTAGTACTTCTTTGTATGCTATCTATTGTTTTACCCTTACTGCCTGACAATGATTAATGAGCTTTACCTGCATTCCTGTGTCAAATGAACCCAATAAAAGCTTGTCAAGGAAAGGGTTGGCCCACTCTCCCCTTGAGAGAGTGGCCGTGCCGTCCCTTTTCCTCCACAGGACTCGGTAGTCTGTGTGAATGTCTCGTATCTCATCCATAACACTGTGGACACTGCGGGCCGGTGTCCGCATCAATGCAGTGCTAACACTATGTGAGAAGGGTGCAAATAATGATACCACTTCTCAAGAAAACCTGAACACAATCGAATCTGTGCGACGCTCCCCTACTGCTCCCAGAGGATGCCATGCAGTTTGCCATGCCTGTGTGGCTCTCAATTTTCTTCTACACAAATCCCTAAGGTGTCTATAGTGTTGTTTTGCATGTTTCTAAACACAGCACAAATACAAGATATTTAAACCTAAGTGGCATCATTTTTGCACCATTTTCCACGCTCACTCCTGGCCACAAGCTGCTGCCCATATGTGGTTAGACACACTCCTGGTCGTGCACAGAGCAACTGTGGCACGATCTACCACAGAGGGCTCACCCCTGAGGTTGTCCCCAAGGTCATGCCACCCGCAAGCTCTGCCAACACTCGGCCTGGACTGGCTTCCTTTGCCATCTGTCATCTGCCGTCCATGTGTTTCCCGGCAATTTGAATGTGCGATTCTATTGCCAATGAGGTAGAGGAGCCTCGAGGGCAGACAGAGGCCAGCCAGCTTCCTCTCTGGGAAGGAAATTTCCATCCACACCTGTGTGAGCTGTTTGCCTCTGGAGGTGCACAGGCTGGAAGCCTCTGCACTCACTCCGGACCTCAGCCCTCTGCACTCCGTGAGCTTGGAGGGGCCAGCCCCCGGTGTTCATCTTCACTGCTCCCTGGGCTGGCCCGGGCCCGGGGAGATGGTAGGTTCAGCTTTAACAAGTTGCACAAAATGCCGGTCAGGGTCTGCCTCAGCCCTGCACTGAAGTCTGACGCCAAGGCTTCCTTTCCATGTAAGTGACAGGCCACGCCATTCAGCGAGGGTTTCTGGTGGGCTTCCAAAAGTCACATCATTTTCTTCATAAAAACCTATAGCAGCTTTGCTGAGTGGATTCATAGTAGTAGCCTTATATCTTTCAGTGCTATTATAAACAGTATCTCTCTTTGGAAAAGAATTACATGAGCTGCATGTTGCATACATCAAAAATGCAACCTTGAAAAAAATGTGGTATATCTAGAACTCTCGCTGCGTCTTTTGTTAATAATGCTTTTACTGGAGATTTTTCTGCTTGTTGCAGACAGTCTTATCATCTCAGGTTAATGCACTTCATGGCTCCTGCCGAGGTCACACTCTCACTTCCTTCTGTTGTGATGCAGCAGGGACAGCACAACGCTGGGGACAGGTGGGGACCACAGAGACCCGTATTTTTTTCCTGGTTTAAGAAAGTGCCTCTAACATCCCACCATTAAGAACAGGTTTACTACAGTTTTCTGGTAGATTTTTAAAAAGCAGATCAAGAATGTACTCTCCTGTTCCTATTTTACTAAGAGCTTTGCCCTGAATGGGTGTTAAATTTTATCTGACACTTTTTCTGCATCTAATATGATGAAAACTTTTTCATTCTTTACTGTGAATGTAGCAAATGACATTTTAAAATCTTCATGTATTTTAAAGCCACCTGGGTGTTTCTGGAATATACACATTGGCTGTGATACACTTTGTGTTTAGTCGACTTTTATCGGCTGATGTCTGGTCGCTACACTTGAGTTGGTTCTGTGGGCTCTGGCTCGGCTCCTCCTCTGGTCTGGGGATCAAAATCACGCTGGCTTCCTTACACGAAGGGGTGTGTCCTGCTGTCACTGACGATGACGTATGACAGGGTGGTCACCTGCCTGGCCGCACACGGCAGCCCTTGCTGTAGAACGCTGGGTGTTTCCATTACATGCGACTTCAAGTGTGGGGGGCACCGTGTCTCGGAGGGCTACAAGCTTTCCCAGGTTTGCTTCTGACAGTCCCCCCAACACGTTTCTGAAATCTCTGCCAAACCCGTGGCTCCGTCCCTCCAACTTTCCGGGGCAGGCTACTGTGCCTTCCCCTCTGCTCCCATCCACTTTCCCTGGGCCGCCGCCTCTGAGGTGGGTTGAGGACCCATGGCGGCTCCGTGGCCCACTGCACAGCTCTCTGACCCGCTGTCTCATGAACATCCCCTCTGGTGTGGTTTCCCTCCTGCTGGTTTCAGGGGTTGTTCTCTCATTGTTTCCTGACTCCGTGTCCCCATGGGCATCTGTCTCCAGGTCCTGCCCAGGTGCGTGGCACAAGCTCAGTCCCAGCTGCGTGCCCGCCCCCTCTTCCAGGCCCCAGCTCCCGCTGAACCGTGCCCCCCTGCTCCACAAGCCCAGTGGGTCAGGGTGGCTGCCCACTGGCTGCGAGCATTTGGGTACCAGCTTCGATGTTCCTGGTGGAGCGACCATGCCATGAAGAGGGAGGCGTCCGTCAGTCAGACAGACCTGTGCGTGCACAGGTGGGGTGTGCGCCTGCACAGAGACATCCCCCTCGGCATCAGTCTTACTGGGAAAGGGCCAAGGGTGCGCAAAGTGTCCCTGCCACCTGACACGCTCCTGCCAGCACATCCTGAGGGATGGGGGAGGGAACTCCTAGGTTGTACCGAACACAGGGTTGCTGAAGTTGTCTTAAAAAACCTGCACCTATGCCCTGGCTGGTGTGGCTCAGTGGATTGAGCACCAGAGTGCAAACCAAAGGGTCGCCGGTTCGATTCCCAGTCAGGGCACATGGCTGGGTTGCAGGCCAGGTCCCCAGTAGGGGGCACATGAGAGGCGACCACACATTGATGTTTCTCTCCCCTCTTTCTCCCTTCCATTCCCCCTCCCTTCCCCTCTGTCTAAAGTTAGATATTTAAAATCTTAAAAAAAAAACCCTACATTCTGCATAAGTCTCCCTGAATGAGGGCTCAGGTTACCAGCTTAAAGGATCCAAAATACTACCAGCACATGGACCAAAGCGCAAAGAAACCAAAAACATAAAGCAAAAAATCATGCACAAATGGCCCAAGAACAGGTCTCCAATCAAGTCTTCCCATAACTACAGTGGTTAAAAATCTTCCAAAGTAACTGAATGGAAAAAAAAAACAACAACCCTCCATGGAACAGAAGTGTACCAAAGCTATAAAACTTTCCATGATAAAATTTAATTTTTTTAAAGATTTTTAAATGTATTTATTTTTAGACAGAGAAGGAGGGAGAGGGAGAGAAACATCAATGTGTGGTTGCCTCTCACGCGCCCCCTACTGGGGACCTGGCCCACAACCCAGGCATGTTCTGTGAACTGGGAATCCAAAACATTTTATTTTATTTGGAAAAAACAAATCAAGCCTTTCTTTAAAGGCAGATAAATCCTGCCCTCACTGTGTGGGGAATTAGAGGCTGCCTTTGCAGAGTGTCTGGTACTAATGCAACATGAACATCTGAGAAGAGCGTTCCCTATTTACTTTCAAAAGATTCAAAAAGCCCAGCAAGCAACAGAAAGCTCAGGAACGAGTGATGGAATAGTGGTGACCGAGTTTACAGTCATGGCGACGCCCAAGAGTTTCGGGAGCTCCGAGTGGCTCATGTGTGTCGGTGTTTAGAAAACACAGTGGACATGTTTACTTTGAATTGCGGACTCGCCCTTTGTGAGATTTCCTTGAACAAAGAGAGACGCCTCTGTTGGAAGGAACGCTGGAAAAAGAGACCCGTGTACAGCTTGCTCGCTGTGTCAGCAAAATTTTTAAGCACTTCTATAAAAAAAAAAAGTCAGCACTTTGCCTGGTTTGCTTGTTTCCCACCCAGGCCTGCAGAGGGCACAGGCCCTTTTCCGAAAGGCGCTCCAACAAGCTTCCTTACCCGTCAGGGCACCCCCTCTTCCTGCAGTGATGTCCTAGAGTGGCCAGTGTACGTTCTGAGGTGTGGACACCCAGGATGGACATCTTCACTCTCCTGACTCACCATCACCACACTGCCGGGCACGGCCTGTCCACGCCCTGGCAGACCTGCTGGTTATGCCCCCGGCCCACATGCTTGGCAGGTCCCCTGCACCCAGGGCCAGGAGAGAGATGCAGCGTCTGGCCATGGGCCTGTGCCTGCCTGGCCTCAAGTCGAGGGTGGTAAGGGTTCTGGGAGAAGGGGCAGCTTGAACAAGAGGCAGAAGTGGAACCGGGGCCTGGATCAGCCTCACTCACACCAGAAAACATCTCTTGCTCTCCCATTTCTGTGGCTCCGTCGTAGCCATTCTCGTGTGCTCCACACGCACTGTTTTATGCATGAAAGTGCGTGTGCTCCTGGTCTGAGTCCTGTGAGGCGTGCAATTCTCTCGTTTCATGAAGGTCTGGCTGCTAACCCTTCACCTCAGCTGAGGCCGTGAGCTGCGAGAGAAGCCATCTCAGCCTTCTGGCTGACCCTCAGGTGCAGCGGCAATGCCAAAGCGACCCTGGGGAGGCTGGGGCGATGGGAGCAGCTGCGAGCACAGACACACAGAAACCACCCGAGAGCAGGGGCGAAGACTGCTAGTGTAAATGGCGTGTGCGTGGCCCTGGGTGGGGGTCCTTCTAAGGACACATTTGGAGACAGTCTTTTAAAGATGATTAAGTCAGGTCCTAAAACTCATAAGGACTCGTGTGTTTTCACAAGGTGAATTGCTCTAATAAACCCAAAAGAACCAGCTTCCAGGGTTGCCTACCCCCCGCAGTGCTCTTTCTTTAAATGCCATCTGTGCAATGAGCCTGCTGGCCGCTCTAAGGTCCCAGCTCTGTTCTCACTGCGGCTGCTGCGCTCTAGTGCAACGCCGCTGTCGTGGCCCTCAGAGGAGGTCCTGTGGGGAGCCGTCCTCTTGCTGTTCCTTAGCACATACATGTTGGGTCTCTGGACTTCCATCCACTCGACAACCCAGAGCAGAACTTCAGAAGCAGCTGGGCTTGAGCTGTGCCCCGGGCTCCCTGCACTGGTGTTCTGGGTGAGTCAGAACCCAGGTTTTCCATGCTCTGGGTAACAGTGCCCCCACCAGGGTGGAGGCACAGGGCCCTGGTCAGCAAATGCACCACAGGGAACTCACCACATAGCAGAGCAGTCGAAATTCACCAGGAGCCACTTGTGGGGGTTAAAATTAAAGGAATCTGCAAACTGCCAAGAAATAATAAAAACAAAAGGACACATGAGTGATTAATGCTGAGGTACAAGGCGGGACCCACATGTGATAATGAGCAGTGTGTCTTAAGTAAAACAGGGAGGCCCTGTGGCGGGGGGGTTCGGGGGTGGAAGGACGTGAGTCCACTGCAGCCCTGGGCCTGGTCTCTGGGACCCTCAGGGGCAGCCACTGGACGCCTGAAGCCTCTTTTTATTCATTTTCAAGTGGCAATAACAAAGCACAGCTTCTGAAAGTCGAAGCCGACACACGTCCCTTCCTGGGCTGGGGCTCGTAAGGAGGAGGCACAGATCAGGGTCAGTGAATCGGTTCCGGCCCCGGCGGGTCCCAGCTGCAAATAACTGGCTCTGGGACCACTCACCCGTGGTCGGCGCCACCTGACCGTTCAGCAGAAAATGAGTTCAGCAGCCCCAGGGCCGAGGAGGGCATCAGCCTTTCCACAGGGCTGTCCTAAGGACCGAGTTCTTGTGCTTTTCAAAGCAAGTGGCCGGGTTCCCCCCGACTGGTAACAGGACCTGGGTCCACCTAGATTCCTGGGGACAGTGCCACAGGCTAGTCCTCAATCAGGGCAGAAATGATCCTCTGGCCAAACCTCCTAATGAGGTGGGTGAGGGTGCAGTTTGGAACTCTTCCCAAGCCTCCTCTTGTTCCAGGGATGAGCCCCAAGGAGGCAGGAGGGGACAAGGGGCCAGGTGCGCATTAGCGGGGACATGGGGACAGCTGAGGGCCCTGCTCTGGGGGTGCAGATTCATTTCCTGCCAGACTTCAAGTGGAAGTCGTTTTGAGAAACAGAAAGGAAATTACAAAGTTTCATTTGTTGATCAAAGGTAACAAAAGGTGAGAGAAAGGCTTTGTTTGCTGGGAATGTTATTAGCTCGCTCCTGGGGCTGATCTGTTTAAACTTCTTTCATTACCCAACTGCGATATTTTCATCTTCCTGCTGACAGAGAGAAGGCTCTTATCTCCTGGCAGGACCGGGCAGGATATTGCAGCCCCTTATCTGAGCGGCTGAGCTGAGCTGAGCGAGAGGCACAGCCCGCCAGGCAGGAAAGGGTCCCAGGAAGGTGCAGACCTCCTCGCTGGACCCGACATCCTGTCTGCTGCTGATACAACCCTCCCCCCTTCCCCCAACCAGTGGGCCCTTCCTCCCCCGCTGTGCTGGTCTGACCAGGAGGCACCCCTGTGAAAGGTGAAACCTCAAGTTCATGGGGAAGAGAAAGAGACGGCAGGAAAAGGTCTGAAACCCTAAACCTGGTGGTTAGAAAGGACTAGTCCTGGGAGAGCCCGGAAGAGCCCCAGGAACGCCTGGCCCTTCCCCTGACCTGTGGGGGAAGTCGGTCCTAGGAGTGCTGTCCTGGCAACAAAAGGCATTTCTGTGGCAGAGGGACTGAGCCTTCAGGTCCTAGCACCAAACAACACCAGCAATCAGCAGTGACCTACAGAGGGCTGGGGGTCAGCACCCTGACATCAATGCCTCTAGCACAGCCCCCTATTCACAGAGGGCTTCAGGATCTCTGCTTACACCCCGAGGACCAATCTGAGCCCCCACATACTCCGTGATCAATAAAGCATTACCAAATGGATGAGGCAATGAGCAAATGCGATGGGAATGTAAAGCAGGGGCAATGGGCTCATTGGTGCTCGGGGGACCACTCCTTTCAGAACGGGGACATTCGTATTCTGCCCCTCAGACCCCCCTCTGCCTGGCATGACAGCATTTTCAGGCCTGGACTGGTAATTAGGGGGTGGAAAGGTGGCAGGACCTGGGAGTGGAGACAGGTTCTGAGGGATGGTCTCCCCAGGCCCTGCTGACAATTAATAACAGCATCTGAGGCCGACACGGCACTGACTGTGTGCCAGGCGCGGTCTGTAACCCGTTAAATAGGATTAACTCCTCTGATCTTGCAACCACCCCTCGAAGGAGGCAGCAGCTAAATCCGTCGTGGGTTATGGGGAGAGGACACCTAACCTCTGCAAGGGGACACAGAGCCCCCTGGAGTGAGTCTGGGGTCCAAACAGGCCGTCTAGGGCCCTCGCTCCTGCACCCTGCACGCAAGGCGAGGTCTCAGGAAACGCCGCCTCTGAGCACAAAACCAACGCACGGCTGCTCCAACACGTCTCCTTCCCCCACCCCAACCCCAGACGTCTGAGGTCCAGGCAGGGGTGGGAAGCATGTTCTCAGATGAGGATTCCAAAAAAAAAGCCACTGCTTCTCCAAAGCGATCGTGCTGAAGCGCACACCCACCTCCACGCCGTTGAGAAGATGCTGGAACTCAGGGCAGATGAAGGCGCTGCCCGCATAGGCAGCGTCGATGTGCAGCCACAGGTCTTCCTTGTTACCTGGAAGCCAGAGGTGACCGTGAGTTTGCCAGCGGACGCCCTCCTCACACTGGCCTGATGGCTGGCCTCATCCCCAGATCCATAAAGGCCTCCCCACCTGGAGGGCAGTGAGGCTCGGAGCTGGGGGCCAGGGGCACGGGCTGCTGGCCCGGCATGCCCTGCACCGGCCAGGCACTCAGCGCACAGTGTGACGTAGTCCTAGGGTAAAGTCAGAGTTCATTGCACCGTATTTAATGTCCAATGACATTGATCATAACAGTGAGATGACGTCATGGAGGAGAACCCAGAAGAAGGTCTCTCCAATGCCCACAGAAAACAGCATCAGAAGAAAATGTGTGTGGCACTCACAGATGGGCCCCAGTTCTGGGAGGCGGTCAAAGGAGCAGCAGGACGTGGTCCCCAGGGTTGCCACCACCTGGAGGGCACAAAGCAGGCATCTGTTCAGGCCCTCACGTCTGGGTCACTATGACTGCACGCCTGTGACATGGTGCTCAGTAATGCTGCTGCGTGGAGCCGTGACCCTGAGCACACGGTAACCTTCTTGGGAAGCACGTCAGCAGTCTCTCCTCCTGCATCATCTTTCCCCCAACACATCATGATTCAGCTTGATGCAATGACATCTGTTTGTAGGTCTTAGAAACAGGACATATCCCCTCGTGGAAATTATTTTCTGTGTGTTCACGTGCACACAAAAGAGTGCCTAGGATGAGGCTGACCGAGTATTAACAGTTTGACTCATAGGATGAGGTTTGTGTTGATAGACAGTTAATATAAACCGCATTCTTGGATTTGTGGATCACTACTGATGTTGTTCCAGGCATGGAACATTTTGTAAAAACGACAAACAGCTCCTGCCCTGGGAAGGGCCTCAGCCGGGAGGAAGGAGTGCGCAGCAGAGAAGGAGACCAAAGGGCCAGTCGTCACCACAGCCTCCTCTGCTGGATACAGTTATGGTTCCCACTGTACCTGACCTATACAAGACTCCAGAGGTGGGTCGGGGACCCGCAGGGAGATGGGGCCCAGGTGTGGTCAATTCTTGTTGTCCATCCAGTTAAAGGGCCCAGCACCCTGGGCTATGTGTCAGTCCCTGCAGTCAACCCAAGCCCATGCAGCCCCAGCAGATGGGAGACTGGCGGTGCCAGTGGGGACCAGACCCTCAGGGGGCAGCCCTGCCTGCTTAGTGTTCTTGCAGCACGCCCTAATTCTCAGAAGCTGCTCCAGCGCCCAGCACCTGCTGCGCCCCAGGCTCTGAGGAGAGCTGGGCTTGGTGACATTAACCTGATTTGAGCCGAGGGGTAATCGCATTTGGGCAGGAAGAGGGAGGGAAGGGACAAGGCTGGCGCCTGGTCTCTGAGAGCTCCCGCCCCCCCCCCCCCACGCCTGCCTTCCTGCTTCCCAGGACACAGTCCTTTTCAGAGCCTTCTCTCCTGCCATAATAACCATCGACCGACCTGCCTGCGCCCCAGGGGTCCCTGGGGGGCAGAGGTTTGCCGGCCGGGTCCCCACCTGCAAAATGCACCCCTGGCTCTCAGATGGGGGTTGTGAACTTTGAGGGGTGTGCAACCCCTGGAGCATACAATGAAGCTAGAGGCACTGAGTTATTAGGCACGTGCAGCATTATAACCACTAGATTTGTAAGTCACGGCTCTGCCCCGAGGGTCCGGGCTGCCTCTCCTGGGGGCATCACAAGGCCTCCTTGCTGGTTAGGACAACAGATCGGCTGCTCTGCTCGAACACCCTGTGATCACTCGCATCGCTGCACCTCTTCTGTCTGCGGACGGAGCCCAGGCGGCCCCGAGGGGTGGGAGATGCCTAGGCAGCGGAAGTGCCCGCCGAACAGCGCTCCCCAGCCCCTGGTGCACTTGAGGACCTTCCGCATCCTCGAACAGTGCCTGGCTCTGTCCTCAAGATTCAGGTAAAACCGAATCACAACCACCCTCCAGGGCCGCCCAGGTGCGGCGCCGCGCTGTCGGGTGAGATGGGGCAGGACCCTCCCTGCTGCCTGGGCCACGTCCGGGGTGACGTCTCCTAGGCTCCAGTAGCCACACCCACCGAGCCTTCCCCAACGGAACACGCCTGTCTGTGTGCAGGAAAACCCGGGGCTCCTCGCGGGGCCCACGTTGCACTCACTTCACTGCTCAATGGGGACAGGGCTTAGCGTCTGCCTACCACGCCGAGATACGCTGCTTGGCTCCGTCGCTTTAGCTGTAACGCGGTGCACGCACTCCTCACGCATGCTCCCAAAATGCATGCGCCCGTCACGCACACTGCAGGGCGGAGCCACGGCACAAAGGCCGTTCGGACCGTGGCCGTGTGGTGTCACTTCCCAGGAAGCAGGAGCCAGGCATCTCGCTGTCTAGCAGGGTCCTCCACTTTGGGGTTCTCTGCCCGCTCCTTTACGAGGTTTACGCGTCCCGCTCCAGCCTCGCTTGAGGGGCCCACTTGCTACTTCCTGGGACCTCCCGGGCCCCTCCCTGGCCCTAACCCCACGCCCAGGCCGGGCTCAGGCGTTTGCACTCACTCACTGAACTTACAAAGAAAGGAATCAGACCAGCTGCCTTGTCCCTCTCCAGCGCCTCCTGCAGGGCAGACGCGCGCATGGTGAACTTGTCGTCCGAAGGGATGACTTTGAATTTCACGTTTCCTATTAATGCAGCTCTTTCCACGGAACTGTGGGCCTGCAGAGAAAGCAGCAGAGTTAGACCTGTGCAGCCCACATTAGCCCCGCATCCCCCGCTCTGCAGACCGCGCCCACAGGCCAGGCTACCGCTGGACCTGCCCAGAGAGCGCACCCTCTCCAGATCCCTTCCCGCCCACCTGCTGCCCTGGCTCTGTGGTCTGCCCAGAGCACATCTCCGGAATCAACGGTGAACACCTCCAGCCCCGACCCCCGGAGCCAGACGGGAGCATCACATAGGAATGACGCCTGGGTCCCCCAGACCTCACGGGTGTAGTGCGTTCACCTGACTCCCAGCAGCACCTAGAATGGAGCCCTACGATGCAGCAGCCCTTGGGAGAATCAAGAAGCCACCAGTTTCTTTGGGGAACGGCTAAACTCCCTCACCACCCCACTGGGAAAGACCACACCCCTATGTTCACGGCAACTTCACGTGCATTTATCTAGCGCCTAAGTGTGCATTTTCTCAAGTTTCCTCCTGGGAGGCCAGGGAGATAGATACAAACATGAATGAATGATTTGCTCCATGTGCAGACGTCTCTGATGTGTGGAGTTAGACTCCACAAGCAGGGACCAGCCTCCACCTCAGTGGCAAAGGTGGCCGTTGACATGGTCTCAGCCACCTGTCTTTGCTACCCTGAACGATGCTGTCCTCATGCAACACCTGGCTAAAAATGTGCTCCAGATAAATACCCGGGACTAGATCAACGGTTCTGCGTGGGGCCCAGACTTGTGAGAGCACGGCCGCTGAGCCTCTTGGTGGCCTTCCTATGACGGTCCCCCTCCTGGAGTGACTTTTCGAGGCTCCAGTCCCTTTCTCTGTTGGTTCTCACACTATTCTGTTTCTGATCCTGGTTTTTTTTTGTTTTTTTTTTTTAACCCTTTTCAAAGGGCCAGTCGTTGGAACTGCCCCGGATGCTCCTGTCTGCCTCTTTCTCTCACCTGGGTCCCACATCTCAGGTCAGCTACCAACAGAGGAGCGGCGACCCCCCCAGGACAGGTGCCTTTGTCCCTGGTTGATGGTGAAAAAGGCCCAGAGGATTTACATAATTTGCCAGAGATCACAGAACTTAAAACAGCGGACCCGGGATGGGGGCCCAGGTCTCTGAGCCCTGAGTCTCAGTCCCCTCATGGCCTCTCTGAAGGCGGCCAGGGGGTCGCTGGTCACTGAGACCACACAGCGTGTTCATTTTCAACCAGATTTACTGCTACCTTCTTGTCTACGGCCCACACCTTCTCCCTAATGTGGGCGTTCACCTCTGTGTCCCCAGATGGGGCTGCTCTTCGATGTCAGAGGATGCTGTCACGCTGTCTCAATGTGACATAAAGCAGAGCACACAGATCTTGGTGGCCCCGTGGAGCTTTGGGACAACACACTTACCTGGTCTGAGAAGTAAGCCACCAGCTTCTCCAGGATGGCGGCGTCCGTCAGCCCCGGGCAGGTGGCCTGCAGGCGGCGCTTCGCTTTGCTCCGAGCGCCCAGCAGGGCCATCAGTGTAGCCTCACTGGCGCTTCCCTGCAGTGAAGGAAGGTGGAAATGCGCTTCAGAGCCCGGTGAAGGGGTCGGGGTCCAAACTGTGGGTGTCACAGGGTCAAATCTATTTTTCTTAGAAGGCGAGTCTGAGGCCACAGAGGTCACTCTCTGTCACACGGGAGACTCTGGACCCGGGTGACCGTCTGCCACCCTAGATGTTATTCTCTCAGAGGAGCCATTGGCCCGGGGACCAGCAGGAAGCCTGGCTTTGTGAGCCTGGCCACTGGGTCAGAGACATTTGTATTCGCTGGCAAATGGGGGCGCTTTCCTGGAGACTAGAAATCACTGTGGAGCAGGGGCCCCCAACCACTGGGTATCAGTCCATGGCCTGTTAGGAGCCAGGCCGCATGCCAGCCCCTGCTGCCCAGCCCCTTCTTCCATGAAACCAGTGCCCAGTGCCAAAAAAAGTTGGGGATGGCTGCCTCAGAGGATTCCCCCAGTACCCCCTGTTAGGGCTGAATCACGTCCTCCTGGGTCCTAATCCCAAGTAGCAGGTGTGCTCAGCAGCAGCGGAGAGGGGGACGCAGACATGGATGCGGCGACCACGTGAGGACAGCAGGAGAACACCATCCGCCGATGGCCGAGGAGAGGCTCAGGGGCAGCCAGCCCCGCCGCCACCTTGGGCCCGGACTCTCAGCCTCCAGAACTGTGAGCCAGCACCTCTCTGCTGCCGGGGCCGCCTGGTCTGCGGCATTGTGTTGTGGCCCCTTAGCAAACGAATGTAGCGAATGTCAACAACTAATTCTGGGAAAGTGGTAGAGCAGGTGTGAACTTCCCTCCTCTGAGACTGGATTCAGCACCCACCATGTTATCCCATGTAATTGAAAGACAGTCTGGGTCTCAAGTTTTGTCATCTTCAGGTGGAAAACTGAAGCTCAGAGGGGTGAGGGAACTTGCCCCAGTGGCGGCCCTTGGGGGCCCGTCTGTCCTGCCCGGGCTGCTGGGGCACATCCGAGCAGCTTCCCCCCACGGGCTGCTCATGACCTCTGAGCCTTAAGGAAACCCTACAAGAAACCCAGGAGCTGAACCAGACCAAGGTTAGAAAGAGGTGGGTTTTTTGTTGACTGGGAGAGAGGGATTATAAGATCTTAGAGTATCACAAAGACAAATTCAATAAAAAAATAAAGGTTAATCTCTCTGCTCACGATATATCCTCTGCATTTATCCTGCTTGCCTATTTTTATTACCAATTCAGTGCTTTCATTTCTTTTAAGCCAGCTCCTATCCTTGGGGAAGACGGACAGGATTGGAAGGTAAATGCGTTTCCTCTCGGCTCTAAAATGCGTGGACTCTCCACCTGTCCAAAACCTCCTTAACTCCACCTCGAAGATGGGTGTCCGCTCCCTTCTGGTGGCATTCCCATTGGTTGGGGTTGCAAGTGCGGCGTTGACCACCCGCTGCACCTGTGGTTGGAGAAGCCGGCTGGTGCAGCAGAGTTGGCTGTGGCAGAGCGTCCACGCGGCCTGGATGGGGCTCAGGGAGGCTGCTCTGGGGGCCTACTGTCCTCTTGCACCCCCACATTCCGTGTGTCCTGGACCCCCAGTCCTCCCTGGAAAACCTCCCCGAAGGCCTGGCTGCTGTGTGAATGTTCTCCTCCCCCATCCCTCCCGTGGGGCTGCAGCCTCTCTCAGGACCCAGGTGGCCGGCCCTACACTGTCCCCATGCTCTGAGCCACATTTTAAGAGAAGGCTGTGAACCACCATTCACGGGGCTTCCTCAGGGGCTCCCCCCAGGCTCTGTCCAGGACTTGAGAGAAGACACCCCTCCTTCAGGCAACCACAAGTGATCCTAAGAAAGCCACTGACATGACTTTCTGTGAGCACTAGCGCCCTGGCCCGGGGGTGGCACTGGGCCCATGGCCCCTTGCTGGAAGCAAGTTCCTGCAGAGGGTGCAGTGGGGTACGTGACCTGGTACTGACAGCTGATGACACCTCTGCTGTGTGGCAGCAGACAAAGGTTGCCATGGCGAAGCCGGCCACAGTCAGAGGAGATGCTGGGGGGTGGGGGGGGCTGGCTGCTGAGTTGGGAGCGGAAAGGGTCCCCCACCTCCTGGGTGTTCAAGGGCCCCTCACGTACACAGGGGAGGCAGCTTTTCCCCCACCAGCACCCTCTAACCCAATTACAAGGCAATCTGCGGCCCCTGTCGCCCTGCTCTGAGGACGCTTTGACATCTGACTCAGGCACCCGCCCCCGATGCCAGCAGCTGTGATTATGGCTCTGAGGGGCTCAGTGTTCCCTGCAGTGGTGGCCTGAGGGCTGTCACCAAGCTCGGGCTCTCTGGAGCCTCGAAAATTACCACAATCAGCTTGTCAGCCCGAAAGGTCAAGGGTGAGCTTCCTGCCACAGAGCCTCGCTCCCCTGCTCTGCTCTCATCCAGCAACTGGCAGGGGCCAGGCCCCCACAGGGTGTGGGGTGCGGAATCGCAGCCCAAGAGCTGCCAGGACTCATCCCCACCAAATGGTGGGACTTCCACTGACTCTGATAAATGGAGTGGACTTGCAGGAAAAGACCACTGAGGGAAGTGCCCAAGGCAGCACGCAGGACTCCAGACACCATGACCGAGCGAGTAGCCGGGCCGGCTGGGGAGACAGACAGGCCAGCACACGTTGGGACGAGCCTCTCCACTCACAGGTTCATGCCCTGGGGTAGGACACACTGCCAGCATCCTGAGAGCCGTGCTCCCATCTTAGTCCCCTCAGCTCCAGGTCAGCACCCCTAATGCAGCGGGTAATGCTGTGGGGCAGCAGAGGACTGAAGGAAGGGGCCTGAGCTGGCCACATGGGCCTGTGGGCCCCCAAGACCGTCCCACCAGTCATGGCCCGTTTAGCAAAGTGGCCCCAGGCCCTCTGCATCTGTGCATTGGGATGCTTATCCCCGGGTCCATGTCTAGGGACAGGGCCGGGGCGCTGCAGGCTGGATGCGGTCTACGCAAGGAGGGCTTCCCAAAGACGTCCCTCTGTCTTCATCCTGGAGCCCATGACCCCTAGTCTCTAGTGGCCAAGGGATCTCACTGATGAGATTAGGTTAAGAACCTGACTAGAGGGATTATCTCAGATTATCTAGGTGGACCCAACCTAATCCCAAGGGTCCTGGAGCTTGGAGAGCCATCTGCAGTTTGAGCAAGACCAGGAGGGAATGGAGGGCCTGCAAGACAGGGCGTGGCTGGCTTTGGAGCTGGAGGCGGGGCCTGGCAGGGAGCAGGCACCCCCAGGGAAGGTTCTCCAGGGCACCCTGTCAGACCCCTGCTGGGTGCCCTTGGGGAGGCCTGCGCTGGGCACGAAGCTGCCTTCCTCGTTCCCTCGGGCCACAGCAGCCAGTGGTCTGCGCGCTGTCCAGCTCAGCAGGCAGCAGAGCCACTGCCCCCACTGCTCTCAGGGCCTCTGTAAAGACAGTGTCCCAGAAAGGCGCGGGGCTTTCCTGACATCGTTACCACCCACCTGACAAGAGAGAGGTGATGTCAGAGAGGGGGTTCCATAGAGCCCCCCTTCCCGCTTGGAAATAAAGCAGCACCAAGCACCAGTCTGCTCGGAGGCATTGGCCCTGCAAACCCCACTGTGCACACGCCCCACTGTGACCGTCCCTTGCGCACTGTATCCCCTGGCATACGTTCTGACCCACAGTCTCTGTTGGCAGTACTTGTGGAGTAAAGAGAAGGGTTAACTCATCTCACAGAAAAGGCAGCCTCCCCAGTGGCCATGCAGTGGCACCTGCCGAGTGACAGTCACCTGTGAGCAGGGCCTGGGGAGCGAGGGAGAGGCAGCTCCAGAACCCGAGTCTAGGCCCAGCGTCCTCAGTGTCAGCTTTGCTATCTCTGGGAGAAATATGAGGACACCCCCAGAGCACCATCCCTCCCCGCTGTGGCTGGAGTTCCTGGTGGAACCGCGCGGCTAGGGAGCTGGGCGCCCACGGCCTCACCTGGATCACACCGCCCCCTTTGCCACCGCTGTCAGTCAGGAAGTGCCCTGGCAGCTTCAGCATCTTTCCCAGCCAGTCCATCATCACCGTCTCCAGCTCTGTGCACGCTGGGCTCGCAGCCTGTGAAGGGGAGGTGTGAACCCCAGCCCGCAGCCCACTGCTTCTGGTCAGGTCCAGACAAAGGGGCGTAGGGATGGGGCGACCCTGTCCATGTAGCAGAAGGGTTCAGACCTCTTCAGAAGGCCCACCCTGAGGCAGAACTCGAGAGGGTGTGCCCCCCACCCCCATGTTGGAGTTTTGGGGAGAAAGTGACAGGCCCGGGCACCCGGCGGCAGCAGGCTCCTGTCTGAGGCCACTCCGAGGCATCCCTGGGCCCTTCTGGGCCAGCCCAGTGCTGGGAGCCTTCCGTTCCCGCTGCACGTGGGGGTGGAGGGGTGCCCACCCCCAGATCCCAGGCCACCCACAGGAGCCCATGCATGCTGTGGGGTGGGGGGAGGTATGCACGTGTCTTGGTCACCTCGTGGCCTTCCCCCAAAGACTCAGTTCCTGAGGATGTCATGGCCCCCCCCATGCCCACCCTTCTCTGCAACAATTCTCCAGGGGCTGATGCCGAAACAAGGGGCCAGGACTTGAAAAATTTTGGGAGCAGCCACAGGGGTGAATCTTACCCTGGACCTGGGTGAGACCCGTCCACTCCCAGAAGCTGTGCCAACACCAAAATACGTGGCAAACAGGGGCTCTCTGGCCAAGACTCATGAAAAGTGGCCAGGAGGACCCAGTGACAAAACGGTGACCACCCTGCTGCAGGGCACTGGGACCGTGGCCTGGCTCAGTCAGCCATCTGTTTCCTCATGGAAGCATCCAGAAAGGCTCCGCAGGGACCCTCCTCCACAGTCACAGTGAGTGCAGTGGGGCCGAGTCAGGAGCTGGGTCCGGGAGACTTGGGTGAGTCCGTAACTCACCCTTCTGGTGGGGACTCTGAAGCTTTCCGGCCCCTGCACGTGGGGCTAGTGGCCCTTGGCCGTCCCTGAGAGGGACTGAGCCTCCCCCACCAATGGCTCTTCCTCACAGCACCGCCGGCCTGTGACGCTCAGCTGGTCACACAACATGCTCTGGACCGGCCCGCCCTGTCCCTGCGAAACCCAGCTCGGGCACAGGACGGACCCTGGCTGGCAGGAGCCCAGGCCTCGGGGCACAGCAGCCTGGGACCGGCACCAGAGACTTCAGGCTGGCCCCAGAAAGGACCTGCACAGAGGGGCCAGGGACAAGTCTCCCTAAAGGGACAGGACAGCTCTGGGCCCGCAGAGCTGAGTGACATCTGCAAGCAAAATGGGCCTCGCTTTAGAGGTGGCAAGCCCTGCAGGGACACAGAGGTCGTCCGGGCCGAGTGGCTGTGCCCAGGCTGCTGCCCCAACAGGTCTGAGCACTGTGCTGGGATCTGGGGGCCCCTTCGACCCTGCCATTGGGGTGAGTCTGCAATGTCACCTTCCCCCCACCTCTGACATGTGGGGGCAGGGCCAGGCCGATGTAGGTGCTGGCTCGAGCAGTCACCCTCTGGTGCCTCAGACCCTGACGCAGCGTGACTCAGCACCAGCAGCCCACTCCTCTCCACGGCCCAGGAGCGTGGACACAGCGGGCCCCCGAGGGCCACAGGCAGACCTGGCTTTGCGGCCCCAAGGACATTGTCCGCGCTCTGTGTTGGGGAGGCAGGGGCCTTCTTTGTAGGGCTGTGCCGGGAGCAGAGGGACAGGAGGAGTGAATGGCCTGCCCACCCTCTGAACAGGGGTCTTCCTGTCTTCGTGCCCCCAGGAGAAGTGGGCCTGGGCTGGCCAGGGGACATAGAAGCCGGCCTGGGAGCCCAGCACTCCCAGCGGGGGACCCTCTCCTGGTCAGCCACCCAGTGGAGAGCAGATGGGCAGGGCAGTTCTCCAGCTGGAGACCCCATGGGATCCCTCCCTCTGGACTGCATGGTGGACATGCAGGTTCCTAGGCCAGGCTGCAAAACCAGGGCTGAGGTTCTAGTCCACACCGAGTGGCTCTAAGGAAGCCCTGCTGTGCAGGACTGCCTTGTATGAGCAGGTAACTTCCCTGGAATAGTCTCTGTCTAGTCCCCTGTGTCCCCACCCCTGAGAGGCGTCCTCTCTGGGGTTGAGTCCCCATCCTGTCCCACAGGAGCACGGCCACCTGCTCACACCATGTCCTCAGGGCAGGGTCCCCTGTTTCCCCGTCACTCACCCAGGAGAAGCCGATGCAACCAATGGCCCCGCTCAGCATGTCGCCGAGTAGGGCCGGAAAGGAGTTGCCCGTGGGGAAGTAGGCCAAAAAGTGAGGGCTCTGCCAGTGGGTCACCTGTGGGGAGACGGTGGTCACTCGGGGGCACAAGGGGCCTGCACAAGCAGGAGAACCAGGCCCCCAGGGTCTGCACAGCGAGGGGCATCGCTGAGGACAGCAGAGTTTCCGTGGAGGCTGAGTGCGTGCACGTGTGCGTGCATGGTGTTGGGGGCAGCCCGCCCTGAGGCCCTGGCTGTGTGTGAGCAGCCTGGTTTTTTAAAACTGCTCCATAAAAATAAAAAGTCTCTATCAAAAAAATGTGGAAAAGGCGTGCCTTCATAGGTGTCTTCAGCTGGTGTTGCTGCTAGTCCCCTGCTTCCTGTTCGGTCCCCTTCCCTTTGTCCCTCTGTCCCCAGATGCCATCAGGAGAAGATGACAGGCAGTGTGCTCTATTGTGGTGACAGCATGGCTGGGACAGCCTCCTGGTGTGGGGAAACGGTGGGGGAGGAGGGAAAATGGGGGGCTGTCCCCCAGGTTTTGCTCCTTTAATTTGTTCTTGTCATGTGAGTGCAGAGTAAAGCCCCGAGGACGCCTGTGGGGATCAGGAGTGCAGGGGAGGTACAGGATGGTCACTCGGGCCTCCAGGGGACAGGTCTCAGCAGTCCATCTGACCGCCCACCTTCTCGGTGCCCCACCCCCTGCCGCCCCAGGCTGTGCAGGTGTTCCACCTAAGTCGGCCACTGCAGACATAGCTCCCTCGGTAACTCTGAGGATGCACTGGCCAGCGCCTGAGACGAGGCACCAGAGCCCCCAGGATAGGAAGGCGGCCAGAACTGGGAGCAGCCAGCAGGACTCTTGGGGTGGAAGCTGCCGGCCCCAGTGAGGCTGAGGTCAGGAGGAGCTGCAGGCTGAGGCTCCTGTCCCCTGCTCTTTCAGGGACCTGGGAGACATTTTCACTTCTTTTTAAAGGAAAAAGATATGCTTTCAGGTCAGAACCAAAAGTTTACTCCATAATGTTCATGTATTCATCTTTATGCCAGTGCACTCCTAAATTGTAATTTTCTTCGTGTTTCTGTGGAGGAAGGGCCCACAGCAGTGAGGGTGTGGCCTGGGCACCAGAGGCCCCTCACAGTGGCCCCCCTCCCACCCTGACACCCAGGTCACAGGCAGGCCTGTTCCAACTCTCAATTAACACCCACTCAGTACTGGAGACGCACGTTCCCACGAGGCCCTCCAGCTGGGTGAGGGCTGGCAGACTCACAGCTATCAAGGGGGGCTCCCTTCTCACCCGGGGACAGTGCTCTGCGCAAGAAAAGCCCCGTCTAACCGCGAGGGAAGAATTCTATAGCATCCCAAATCGCCCTGTTATGGACAGACAGAACGGCTGTGTCCCCATAGTCTGGTGTGGAAGTCCTCCCCCCTCCAGTGTCACAGGACAGGGACAGAGTAGGTCATGAGGGAGATTCAGTGAGGGGGTGGACATCTACAAGCCAGGAGCAGAGAGCCCTCACCGGGAACCGGACCTGTGGGAGCTGTGACCTGGACCCCTGGCCTCAGAGCCCTGAAAGGGGCGTGTCTGCTGTCTGAGCCCCCACCCCCACCCCCAAGGGGAACCATGTATGGCAGTCCCTGAGCCTGACATTTGACTGCACGCCCCCCACAGGGGCTGCATGCTGAGGCTTAGTGCATTTGCAGCTCCTCTGGCCAAGAACCAGGATTTGTGCTCGATGCAGAGTGCAAATGTCAGGGGCCCTCCTGGGAGCTGGATCTGGTCCTGAGCAGCTGAGGTTTCAGGGCCGGGGGAGGGGCCCAGGCCACTGGTCCCTGGGCCTCCTTGGGGTCCAGTCTGACAGTGGGGGTTGGGGCAGGGAATCTGAGAACCCTCTCGCCATGCCGCTGCCTCTGGCGACTTCCCAGGCAGGGACAACTGACTGTGGAGACACAAAGAACTAGTGTGTTCCTTCCAGGGTGACGCTCGGCCCTGGGTCCTGCCCACACCTGTGCCGGGCCCCCTGGGGCCCCTTGAGCTGTCACTCCGGGCAGAACTAGCCTCTGTCGCCTGTTCTCCCGTGAAATCAGCAAAGCTTTCCTTCTACATGTGCAATGGATTCACCCTCTGCTCAGCGTGGACTGGTTGCAGGAGGTTTCGTTTGGGGGGATGGACTTACTGGAAACCAGCCCCAGGGGCTGCTGACCTCCAGCTGCCCTGTTCACTGGCTCTCAGAGTTGGGGTCTCAGGCAGGGGCAGGGCTGGAGGGGCTGGGGAAGGCCGCTCGCCGCCCTCAGCGCCCACAGACCTGGGCTGCGATTCTGGCTCTGTCGCTCCCTGGCTGTGCAACCTCAGTCTGATCACCTAACTTTTCTGGGCCTTTGCTGCCTCGGCTGTAAACTAGAAATGACAAGGGCTCCTGTCCACCGGGATTGGTTGTGATCAGGTGACATAACACATGTGCCCCGCCTTGGGGTCCACAAGCCGCTCCTCAAACTGACCGGAGTCCTCCGACCCGACCTTGACCCACTCACCCCTGGCATGATGATCTTCTCCACGTCCTTCATGATGTCCTCAAACGTGTCTGGCTCCTGGGGGGCGCAGCTGGGGATCAAGGGGCGCAGGTAGCCAGGCTCCACATCGGGGAAGACCTGGCGCTGCTCGATGCCCTCCAAGTAGTCAGCTATGTAATCCACCATCTGCCTCCCTCTCCTCCTGAACTCGCTCGTGTTCATGCTGACGGCTTCCTCAGTGGAGCGAACTGCACAGGGACAGGAGAGACACCGGCCGGCCGCCATGGAGTCAGCAACCATGGCCTGCCGCTGCAGGGGAGACTCGGGGGGCCCCCCACGAGCCTATGTAATGTTTGTATCAGCTAATCAATATGTAACCTTGTGAATGCGGTCCCTTTTAGATGTTATGTAACACAGACAGACCCATTCCCTTTGCACTCCTGCCTGCCTGGGCAGCTATGCCGGCACCTTCTGGTTCCCAGCAGCACCCAGCCCTGAATTTTCTGGTCATTTTCAACAGGGGCATCCCCAGGAGTAACACCCACGGGGGAACAGTGTGTCCCCAAACAGGCCACTTGTGGACACAGTAACGCAGAAGTTGCCTGGTGGGGCAACGCCAAGTTTTCATCCCGCAGAACATGTGTGTGTCCACTCATGCCCACGTGTGCCCACGCCAGCCCCTCCCACGCTGACCGTGGGCTTGCACGGAGATTTTAGCCGAGAGGAGAAAGTGCATTTGGGGCATCTGTGGGTGATAAGAGCTGCCCGTGTTTTCCAAATCGGAAACCTGAACACCCCCAGGAAAACTGCTCACCAGGCCCTGGAAGTCCAGACACAGGGATCTGCGGACACACGGACTTTCGGAACGTGTTCTTCAATTGTAGGAGATGATTGCGTGCTGAATGGGGAGTGCATTTCTGAGCTCCTGCCACAGCTCCAAGCCTCGAAATTTAAGACTGGCTCTCCCAGAAAGGGTGGCTCTACGGGGACTACAGAGTGAACAGCGTCCCGGCGCCCCTGACAGTACCTTCTCAGCATCCTGTCCTGTTGTCTGTGCTGTTGTGTGGGGGAGGAGTGGGTTTTATGAGGCCAAAGAGAAATTATTCACAGGACACGTGTTAACCACTGCAAGGCCACCAGCAGGGCCGGGCAGCCGACATAGAGGGGAAGGTTTTAGGTTCTCTGAGGCCCATTATTCTGTCCAGGTTCTGGGTACATTTTTCATCTGGCAAAGGCGGATGACAGCGATTAGAATAGAAGATAAGGTTCTGAATTACAGCCACCAAGAATGAAAAAGTAACAGCCTGGGTCTGAAGTCCCCCTGCCTCTGGGTGCCATTAACCTGGGCCCACGGAAGCTCCTGCTTCTCATCCCAGGAGCCCCCAGGGGTCTCAGGGCAAAGCTGCTGCAATGCATGGAGCTTCCCATTTATAACCCCCAGGCCCACAGGCTTCAAAATTAACTTTTCACTTGGAGTGACTCTGGTCATTTCAAATTTTGCACGTTGACTGAATGCCACCCAAACTCTGTCCAGCAGCGGACATGACGGCCAGCTTGCCTTGCCACTCGGCAGCAATGGTAACGCACAGTCCCATTTCTTGCAGGGTTGCTCAGGGCGGCGTGGCATTCCTCAGTCTGGGGGGCTGCACTCAGTGGGGAACTTCTGTGGGTGAACATTGTGGTTCTTGCCAGCGGCTCCCCACCTTCACGGGAAGAGCCGGTGGGACGCCACGGCCGGGACTCCGGCGTCGGGAGCCAGAAGGCCCTGACTCGGGTGTTCGCTAGCCAAACGGCCTGACGTCAGTCCCTGCTGCCACTAACGTCAACTACAAACCACCCTGTCTCCAGGACGACCTCGACAATTAGATAAGTCCATGGGAACAGCCCGGAACAGAGGCCCAAGATACACATCAGCTGTATTAGGTATTAGCTTTTCTAGAAGACACCGAGATGGGTAACCTCACATCAGCATTTCCAAACACTGTTTTGCATTAAAAATTTGTAGAAAGAAGAGCATTTACCTTATAATTTCTTTAGAACAGTTTTTTAAGATTTTACTCATTTTTAGAAAGAGGGGAAAGATGGCGGGAAGAGGAGAGAAACATCAATGTGTGGTTGCCTCTCATGTGCCCCCTACTGGGGACCTGGTCCACAACCCAGGCATGTGCCCTGATCAGGAATAGAACCCTTTAGTTCTCAGGTTGTCAGTCAATCCACTGAGCCACACCACCCAGGGCTAGAACAAATTTTTATAGAAACATATATTTTTAGTGTTTTAAAATTATATAGCCAAATTTTCCCTCAAAACTTTGTTGTTTTTTTTCAACCGAAGTACTGCCTCACGGGGAGGGACTAAGAATCATCATTTTGCCGTATAATCATCACTGCTGGGTTTGCACTTCCTTTTAGAATTTGCCATGATAAGCATTCCTGGTCTTGCTCTATTTCAATACTTTCGACAGTTTCCCCTACTTCCTGGTCACGTGGAGTTCCTTTACAAACTGCTCGTTCACTGAATTGTTCCCCGTTATTTAGATTGAATTGCAGAATAGAATACCCTCACAGTATGTCTGTGATCTATCGTGTAGACATGGCCTTCATGTTTTGCTTGACCTAACCTTGCTTATAATTTTATTCTGACCTATAAGGATTTCTATTTTTATGTAGTCAAGTCTCGTGATCTTTCTCTTTGCAACTGGCACCTTGCAAGTGACTGATAGCAACACCTTTAAGTATCCGAGTGACCTCTCTGTGTTTGACCGAGGGATAGCCCACGCCGCGTGCAGGTGAGGTGCAGTGCGGGGTGCTCGGGGTTCCCAGGGCCCCCGCTGCCTCAGAAGAAACGGACGCACACTCACTACCCCCCCCGCCCCCCCCCAGCGCGGTATCCTCATCAGATGCAAGAAGAGCCCTGGTCACTCTGTCGGAAACACTGTCGGGTATTTGCTGGTTATTTTCCACAAAGAGCTCCCTGGTAAACTCTTTGTCCTGCCAACCAAGAGCCCTGTGTTGTTGTGTTTGACGTCCATGCTGGAGATGGGTGGATGTTGGCTGGGGGAGGGGGACACTGACAAAGGCCACGGTGCTGCCTCCCCGGGCCCCAGGGCAGCCTCTGTCAATATCATCTGATGACAGCGTCTGCCTGTGCTGTGTGGGGCGTAAGCCGGTCGTGTCCCCGGACTCCTGGCCCAGCATCGTGTCGCTTCAGGAGAGGCACAGCCTGGCCTCAGCCCCCCATGCCCGGTTCCGGAGGGGCCACAGAGTTTCAAGGACATGCCATGGTGCTCTAGGACCCTTCCAGGGTGGCCACCAGGCCTCTCCTAGGCTTGTTTTAATCCCCGCCCAAGGGTATGTTAATTGACTTTAGAAAAGGAAAAAGGGAGGGAGAGAGAGAGAGAAAACGTGGCTGTGAAAGAGAAACACTGGTTGCCTCCCTCGCGCACAGCCCCAACCTGGGACCCAGCCTGCAGCCTTTTGGTGCACGGGACAATGCTTTAAGTGAGTGAAGCCACCGGGCCAGGGCTCCTGGGCTTGTTATAATTATTATTATGCTTGCTGATCACCAACAAACATGCTAAGTGAAGTAACACAGAGTTTCTAAAGAACCTGGTGTTAGTGTCTTAAGAGTCAGAAAAGGTCTCAGGGGATTTATTTTTTTGTTGAGGCAAGTTAACAGACAGCCGTCCGTATCATCAGAAACATCTCTGCTGGAAACTTCCCTATGGTCTCAGCTGGAAGCTGGAGCCCTGTTGGGTCCGTCATGATCCTGTACCCACATAGAACAGGCTTGCTGAGGGACCGGCTGAATCCAGGGGAAGCAGTCGGATTAGCTCAGGGCCATGGCCGACATCTCTGACCTCCAGGAAGAACAGGAGAGGCAAGGCCTCCCAGTCCTGGGGCAGACAGGCGTTTTGAGTCCTAGGCTACGGCTCATTTTCCTGGAAGAGTGTAAAGAGGAGTGCAAACACTTTCCTTCTGTCAAGGTAGAAAAGGAAAAGCCGGGGCAGGCGGCGCCCCAGGGTCTGAAGGAAGACCACAAAGAGAGAGCAGAGTAAGCTTTGCCAAACACGGATGCTGGTGTGTGGGCCTGGCCTCGTTCTCTGTCCTCCGGGCCCAGGTGGCCCTATTCCAGCCCCCCCAAATTAAACCAGGAACCTCGCCCTTACTGCTTTCTTCTTGTCCTGAAATTTGGGGTAACTCAAGATGTTCTTGTTGAAACAGAAATTTTTCTGACTGGCTTGGAAAAGAATTAACCTTTGCACAAACTTAGACGTGTCCAGTGCTGCACCGAGCTCTCTGCCCAAGTTCTGTTTTGCAATAGCCATGATAACGCAGCCAGGAGCCCACCCTCCTCCCGCAACCAGGAGGCCAGAGCACAAAAGAGCAACCTGACCAGGAGCACCTGAGCCGCCAGTCAGGTCAGGGCCCCAGACACACCCTGCACTCTGGCCAAGAATGCCCTGTACTCCAGCATAGGCGCTAGGGCCACCCAACCAGCGTGGCCAGAGTGCAGGTCGACACGCTCCAAAAAAGCCTCCAGATGACCCAGGAGGAAGCAGTTTCTCCCAGAGCCTTACTCTCCTGGATCCCATTCTGACAGGAAGACATGGCCTCGGGCCGCTCTGGCTGGGCTGTGTCCAGGCTGTGTCCACTGACCTCCCCAAGCCTCCGTCATCAATCTTGGTGATGGCCACTGCACCAAGCAGCACAGGGAATCCTGGTGGGGACTCCAGATCATTCACCCAGGGGGGCACCGAGCACGTAATACTCTCTCCATGCTCCAAGCTGCACCGACACCGAAGTAGCTGTCCAGGTGGGGCCCTGCAAAGGCCCAAGCCAGTGAGCAGTGGCTTCTGCCTGGTGGTGGCAGTGGGGGGCAGGGAGCGCTCTGTTGTCCAGCTGGCTCACTCTGAATTGGAGGCCCCCTCACACCTCACAGCCCCTTCAGGACGGCAATCTGGCGAGGCAGCGTCCTCTGTCTTAGCAGCCCCAGGGTGCGTAGGTCAGTGGATCTGGGTTCAGAGCAAAGGGGTTGCGCCCTATCTCCTCAGGAAGAGGGGGCCTGGCTGTCAGCCACCTTTGTGGCCACTCCCAGCCTCCATCCCCTCCCTTGTAAACGGGCAGCGAGGTGCTGCAGACAGCAGGCCCGCTGGCCCGAGGCACCATCTGAGTCTGGTGGTCATTATCACCCATGTCGGAAAGGAACTAGGCGACCACTCCTCAGCGGCCCGGCCTTTGGCAGTGGGCA